CTCATTGAATTGTTCCACCTAATAATAGAAAATATAAAGTAAATAAAGGTGTTATTTTCATATGAAATCTATGTGTCTAATCGAATGGTCCACCTTGCAAACATAATCTTGTTACATCTAATAATCTAATAATAGAAAATATAAAGTAAATTAAGTTGGTATTTCATATAAAATCTGTGTCTAATTAAATGGTCTACCTTACCAAGATGATGATATTTTTCTACTTACAAATTTTTCTGTATTTTATATATTCATTGAAATAAAATAAGAAAATGGTTTTAACAATAAGAAATAATAAACTATTCTAGAACTTAATAAATGCTTTATTATTTAATGCACAAAAAAAGTACACATAAGCCAACATAATAGAAGATTTTTATTAACTACGAGATTAAAAAAACTAAATTGTAAAGTATAAATTTTTCACTCACTTGTAATTTTTATCCCCTTTTATTTGAAATTAGCAATGTACTCATCAAGGATATAAACATAATTAGGTTAGCATTAAAAAAAAAAAAAAAAAAGATTTAAGTTTCATGCATATAATGAGATTGACAAAACTTTCGTGAGTCTTTGAATTGTTCCACATAATAAGTAAGCATAAAGTAATTTAAGATGATGATAAAAATTCTAGGAAAAAAAGGCCAAAGTTAATCATTAATGATACGGAAAAGAATATGATAAGTAGAAATTAGGAAAATGAATTCAAAACTCTCAAAAATAAAAATAGGTGATAAAATTTGTACCACTTAAATATTGTATTCAATGACCCACAAAATACAAAAATCAGGAATATATAAATGATTTAGTTGATTGAAATGAGGTATGATACTTTTTATAAATTTTAATAAATGGCTAATTTTGTAAAAGAGTGACAAAAAAAATAAAAATAAAAATGAAAACATGATGCATTATGATAGTATTACAGTAACACTCAATAGGCTAATATCCACTCACATGATTAATATTTAGGTTATTTTAAAGTTATTTATATATAAATAAAAGTGAAAACAAATATATATTGTAATAATAAATCAATAAAATGAATAACTAACGTTGACTTCTCATGCATTTTTGACTTTTTATTATTATAATAACCATTCCAAGTGCATCGTGTTAGATTTTTTTTAGATTATGGAAGAAGATATAAATGCTTTTAAGAAAAGATAAAGAGAGAAAGTTAAAAATTTAGAGAGAAAGAATGAACTAATTTAAAATTGGTCATTTTTCATCAAAAAGGGAAAACGGTTATTTTATTAAATGATTTTTAATTAAATCAATTGTTTTAATTTTTTTTTCTTCCTAGTTGGTACTGACCTCTTCGTTTTAAATTGTATAATCTATCTCAAGGATTAGAAAGGAACAAGGAATAAACTTTTTTTTGAGGAAAAAGGAAATTTGTCTCCAATCCAACGTTTATTCCTTGTTTCCTATTAAGCGCGAATAAGATATGAGACACTGGTAAATTTTAAAAAAATAGGAATATGGACACGGTATGAATACGGCAATAAAATAATAATATTATATATATATATATTAATAAATACAACTCATTTAAATTAGGCCAATCATCTTTTTTTTCAAAAACATAAAGTAAACAGCACATATTCTATTAAAAAAAAAAAAAACAAATGTAGAGAGAGTATTATTTATAAAATAAAATAAAATAATATATATAAAAGAAATAAAACTCTTACCTAACCCCACTCTTTTTCTCCCCAATCACATTTTTCAATAACCCACTCACCTACGCGTCTCTGCTCCTACCTTATCTTCATATCTCAGATCTATCACTTTGTTCAACCAACTCACTCACGTCTCTACCGTACCTTACCTCTATCTTTACAATTTCAGATCTCCGATTTATAAACACAAAAGCAATCAATATTACGCCATCGTCTTCCCCCATGGTTTCCGATCATTCTCTTACGTCTCTCTATCTTCACAATTTTTACATCTATAGATACATCCTGGTTTGGCTCTCTTCTCAACTTCTTCTTCTCTGGCTCTCTTCATCATCTTCCTTCACTACTTCAGGCAAAAGAGACTGGTGAAATAGCTCAGTCCCGAGATGAGAAGGCCATGTCTGTTCAGATCAGTGCGTGTCCGATCTGTGTCCGGCCGTGTCCGTTCGGTGTCCGACTGCATCAAATATATTAAAAAACAGGACACGGTTAGAGCGTGTCGGACACGTGTCCAAGCTTGGGATACGCGTGACCGTGTCCGACACTGGTACTTCGACCCTTATAGTCGTGTCAGTGCTTCATGGTTTTAAAGTGATATATATATATATATATATATATATATAATATTTCCTTAAAAGGGTTTAAAGTAAGGATGGACTTTAGTTGGGCTTGGATTCTTAAAAATTAGAAGGTAAAATAGATTTTTTGTTTTTAAATATTGCGTCGACGTTTTCAGTGATTTTAAAATCGATTAATCATTAAAAAAGGGGAAAAAAAAAATCCATGTATGAGTCCTATGAAAACGTAATTTTTTTATATTTAAAAAGAACATTTTAGAATAATTGGGATGGAGTGAATTAATTATGGAAAGCTTCAAATGATAGGAATTTCAATTACTAGCAATAATAAAGGAAAAAAAATAATCATTGTATGAATGCTACTAGAATGTAATTTTTTCAATTTAATAAGAATAGTTTGAAGTAATTGGGATAGAGTGAATAACAATTAAAAGGGGAGAAAAAGAAGAAGAGAAAAACCATGGTATGAATTTTCTATTTAAGAATAATACTGAAAATACTATTTAATTTTCATAATGAGATATCTTCAGAAAAAAAATGAAAGCACAATATTTTTCTAATTTAAAATGACCAACTAAATAATTAATCAAACTAGAAACAGTTTATGCAAATAGAACTATTACTTAGTTATTCTAAACACAATAGTAAAGTATAACACGTTTTCCTAAATAAAATGACTGGTTTTTATCTAAGCCGATATAATTCAGATAAAAAAATTGTATTAGTTATTTTAAAAGACTCGACTTTTAATGAATACCTAATATTATTAAATGAAATGTTAATTATCTTATAAGATATGACTTAAAAAAATTGAAAATCGATTAATCATTAAAAAAGGGAAAAAAAAAATATCCATGTATGAGTCCTATTAAAACGTAATTTTTTTATATTTAAAAAGAACATTTTAGAATAATTGGGATGGAGTGAATTAATTATGGAAAGCTTCAAATGATAGGAATTTCAATTACTAACAATAATAAAGGAAAAAAAATAATCATTGTATGAATCCTACTAGAATGTAATTTTTTTCAATTTAAAAAGAATAGTTTGAAGTAATTGGGATAGAGTGAATAACAATTAATAGGGGAGAAAAGAAAAAGAGAAAAACCATGGTCTGAATTTTTTATTTAAGAATAATACTGAAAATACTATTTAATTTTCAGAATGAGATATCTTCGGAAAAAAAATCAAAGCACAATATTTTTCTAATTTAAAATGACCAACTAAATAATTAATCAAACTGAAAACAGTTTATGCAAATAGAACTATTACTTAGTTATTCTAAACACAATAGTAAAGTATTAAAAGAAACAATCAATCAATTATGTTTTAGAAGTACAATAAAATATATATTCAATAAAGTAAACAATCAATTATTCTGCAACAATCCAAATCAAGTAGATAAGCAAACCAAAAACAAAAATCTAGATAACTACTAAAATATAAAGCAATTTATGCTCAAGCGTGAACTAAAATAGGAATCAGAGTTTGATTCTAAGAAAGATCCATGTCATAATGTCACATTGAAGTTGATTTTGTATACATAATATATATATATATAACTACTAATTCATACTATGTGCCAAGCTCGTCAGATATTATAGCATATATTTATATCTATAAATATATTAAACAATAAGCATATTGAGAGTACCATGATGAATAATTCTGACTCAAAATAGGAAAAACTTTTTCTGTATTCTCAAAAACAAAAATATAAGTAATACGAAATATATATTGCAACATACCTTAAGTCAAAATAAGCCTAAAGTTCTCTGCATAAATTAAATACTGATTTTCTTGGGTACGCTTTGAAGTTGAGTTAGATGACAAAAAAAAATGTTGAAAGAAGAGATGGAATGATAGAGGATGAGAGAGGCAAGATCCCAGCGGATTATATAATGTTCTTCATACACCAACCGCCGTGTAGACATGAAAAAGGAAGACATGTCCGTTTGTTCCTTTGTTTTTCATAAACTATTTGATTTTTATTTTATTATTATTATTATTTTTTTAAAAAGTTTTTTTATAATTTTTAAATAAAACAAAGTGACAATGTCTTCAACCAAAGGGTTAAAACTGTTTGATATTTTTTTTTTTAAAAAAAGAAGGGGAACAGAAAGGGAAACTGTTTTTTTTTTTTTTTTTTTGGGAATTTTAAAAATAAAACGAAAGGGTATCTTTTTTTAAAAGTCAAAATGTCGTGTGCACAATAATACAAAAAGTGTATATAAAAAATAGAAATAGAATACACTTTTATAGGGTACTAGAAAATTAACACGTGCAATGCATGTAAAGAAAAATTTATATTATATAAATAATTGGTATTTTATATATTATTTTATCTCAAAATAAAATAAAATTGACTTTATTTTTTTTTAAATCAAAAAATTAATTTAGATTTACGGAATAGATGTTAATTCAAATTAAAATATTAATATGATTTATATGAGGGTTTTAATCATCTTTCTATCTAATTATTAAATACATTATGTTAAAATAACTTTTTATATATTTTATCTCTACCAAACACAATTAATCAATTAATTATATCAATGAAAATTTATTTCGATCAATTCTTAATGTATTACCAAGAATTGAGAAAAATAAATTCAGAAATTTATAACATGGCGAGTGTAAAAATAACTATATTGTATTCTAGAGTGGACTGTGGTCAAATAGTATTCGCAATGTGGTGCAATATTACTAATTATGATAAACAATGAGAGTTAACACACTATGAATCAATATTCTGAATTTTTATATTTTTCCTTTGGAAAGAGCGTTTTATCCTTTTGGGAGATCGAAGTTCTGCAATTGGATGATTGTCAGTGCTAAGTTCTTCTGTTGTATCATTGTCAATGCTAAGTTCTGTGCCAAGTTCTTCTGTTGTATCATTGTCTCGGCCAACTTTTTTAACTGCTTGTGCGACGAAGAGGCCTCTGATTAATTCATCAGAAACATAAATGACTTCCCTTCACATCTTTTAACAATGTCACTGAACTCATTTGTTTCTTCTTCCTTCAAATATTTATAAGAAAAAAAAAAAACTAACCTTATTTTTCTTTTATAAATTATATATATATATAATTTATTATATAATGTAATGCAAATTTTTTTTTTTCTTATATTAAAATATTATTAATGATTCCAAATTGTCACCTCATTTTTTAGTCGTAGAAGATCTTCCAAACAACAATTTATTAGTGACTGACAATCATCAAAAACTGTTATCTTTGCTTCTGCATTTGTATCTGTCACTTTTAGTCGCATCACAAATCTGCATAATGACCAATTACAATAATAAGTTATTTACGTTTATAAAGTTTTTAAAACTAAGGTAATTTTAAAAGTAATAATCGTAATAAAAATTGAATACCTTTGAACGCATTTTACATTCTTTATGTTGCAATTGGTACAAACAATACCACTGTTCAGTAGTTTGACTTTCTTGTTGCATTCCATACAAGCGTCGTACCATGGTTTCTTTTCATTTTCAATTTCTTGAATTGTTGCTTCGAAATAATAATTTGTTTTCTAAACAATGATAAGTAAATTTTATTTTTGTATGAATAATTTAAAAAAAAAAAAAACATTTAATAAGAAAACTAATATAATAAATTAAATAATTATGGAAAGTCTATACTAAAAAACAAATGTATATAGATTCATACCATAAATGCAGTTTTTGATTTTCCAATAATCTCGTTGAGACAAATTTTTTCGGCTCCATCAAAAGCTTTAGATTTTGAATTCATAATGAGAGCACATATATCATTGCCGGATATAGTATATCAAACCTGCATTTGTAGTATGTACGTGTGATAACTTAATTTGTATGTATGTAATGATTACTATATATATTGAATACTTTAAAGTATTTAAATTTATGGATCAAAGTAACTATTTTTAGTAGAAGAAAACAAACCATTTTCTTAATGTGTTTACTTCGTTGATGTCCATATTGATCTGCAATGTGGATCCTGGATGTGTTTGAAGAGCGACACCTTAAAAGTACAATTATTTAATTATATATTTGTAGCATCATAAGGAAAGATAGATTGTAAAATGAGAACATTGATTCAAAAAAAAGGAAAGAAAAATGAGAACATTGATGTCTATTTATATGTAGTGTACCTTTGTAAATGTTAACTACCACATTTGTTAAAGTGATTATTGGTCTCTTGTTTACCATTTTAATTATTTGTTGTCCTTCATTTTCTGCAAGATCTGCCCATAATGTCAACGTCGTCATTCTTGACCTGTTATATAGTTTAATAATTACTTCAAGTATTTATTCTAAAAATAGGAATTTGTGAAAAATAGTTTTACTCACTTTGTATCTATTATAGTGATGTTACACATTTTAGATATTCCATCACTTTTCTTCTTAGATTCGATCAACATGGAATTTGCTTGAATAACGATTCCGAAAGCATCTGCAAGCTTAACAAGTTAGTTTCATATATTCAATTGAGATATATTGTGATTCACAATTGAGTTCAATGTTAAAAAATATATATATAAACAAAGATTTGAAGGGAACTAACCAATTGTCTCTTTGCTGTCAATGTGTTTGTTTATCTCTTCGAAATCAACAAAATTGTAATTTATTTTGTTCAAACTTATTTTTTCTTTCTCAATGATTTCAATTGATGTTTCGGTTGTAAACTTTAATTCGAATTCCTTGTGAACATTTCTATATTTGTGGTTCACTCGACTCACAATTCCATTAGAAATTATATAAGTTTTATGAAGAGCTAGGGATTCCTTGAATATGGTGACCACATCATTGAACAATGCAGCTTGAATTTGTGTTCCTTAAATTGTAAAAGATGATCAAATAATATTGACATTTATATATATATATATATCATATATCATATATCAATATCAAAAAATATAAATATAGAATACTAAAAGTAATGGATAATATACTTACTTCTTCATCCATTAGAATTACTTTCAATATTTGGCCTGATCCTTTGTCATTATGGTAGTTTTCAACATTTCCTCTACGAAGTACAATCACCTTTATTGTCCAATTCCTTTGCAAAACATCTAACGAATTTATTGTGTTAAAAGTACATTGGTTCCTCATGTTGAAGATTGTTTCTGTAACACAAGATAAAAACAATAATACGTTTAATGTAAGTGGAAAATTGTAAATAATAATAATAATAATGTAAGTGGAAGATTGCAATATATATATATATGAAAACTTTCTTACATGCTTGGCAACAAAACCTCTTTGTAGACAACATTTTTTGTATATTTAGCATTGCCTTCAATTCTTTGGTCTTTTTTAACACAGACTTTAGTTGTCGACATTGATGTTCCTCTAGATAACGCCACATATAGTTGTCCATGTGAGAATACATGCTCTGGAAGATATATTCCTACATGAGGAATTGTTTGCCCTTGTGCCTTATTTGTTGTCATTGCAAAACTTAATCGTATTGGAAACTGTTTTCTAGTAAAACAAAAAGGCAATCCCTCTCTGCCGGGGAAAGAGGTATCCTTGGAATCAGTACTTGTTTCCCTACATGTTGTCCGTGGCAAATTTCAGCAACGATTGTGTTATCTTTTGTGCCACGACATATAAACCTAGTCCCGTTACATAATCCATTTGCAGGATCTAAATTTCTTAGTAAAAGTATAGGACAATTAATTTTCAACGTTAGTCTATGAGGTGGAAGGCCGTTTCGGAGTAAAGAATTCAGAAATTCTTCTTGGTAGTAGGTACCAGCATCATCATTTGCTTTATCAAAGCTATAGTATGTTGAAGATTCTCCCGGAAAACGTTCAATGAGCTGATCGTTTATTTTATCAACAAAATCATTTCTTGTTGCTAAAATTGCTCGATTAGTTATGTATTCCGTTAAGTGAGAATTTTCTTGAAGGGACGGAAATATAGCATCTATCAATGCATTTTCAGAGTTTTCTTCAATTACAGAGTTTATAACTATCTCTTTCGGTAGTTGAATCATGTTGTCTAATAAAGTCAGCTCCTCTCCGTTGCCTACTCGTAGTAAAAATTCTGTAAATGATTGATCATTTCTTGCTCTCATGTTCTTTTCCAATCGTATTTTCTTCATTTTTTTTTTCTCCATAATTTAGACTTTACCAGACTTGCTTCAATAGTTTCAGCTCTAGTCGCTCGTGGTAGTACGGGTAACACTTGTCTGAAATCTCCGCCAAAAACCACAACTTTTCCTCCAAAAGATAAATTATTGCCAAGTAAATCTTGTAGAGTTCTATCAACTGGTTCTATTGCGTAACGTTTAGCCATTGGTGCTTCATCCCAAATAATTAGTTTGGCTTTTCGTAAGAGTTCCGCGGTTGAACTTTGCTTTGAAATGTTACAAGTAGTTGACTCGTCAGCTATGATAGGAATCTTAAATCTTGAATGTGCAATCCTACCACCTGGTAATAATGAAGAAGCCACTCCAGAAGTTGCAGTTGCAAGTGCAATTCCATGTTCAGATCTAACCTTCGCAAGTAATGCACGATACAAATACGTTTTTCCTGTACCCCTTGGCCCATCAATGAAGAAGATGTTTGGTTGATTTGAGATTATGCATTCAAGTATAGTTTTATATGCATTTTCTTGCTCATTGTTAAGATTTACTATTGCATTGTAATCGTCAGATGGAGTAACAATAGCCATTTCATTGGTGATCTCTCTAGAGGAATCATAACTGTTGGAATCATTCGCATAATCAATATTTGGCAAATCGTAATCATTTATACTTCGGCCCATGCTTATTAAATAGTTTTCTATGCTCTTAAGTGTTTCCATGAGTTGGTAGTCAGGTAAAGAATTGGGGTCGGGTAAAAAATCTTCTGACATAGCTTCAAAATAGTCATCCCAAAGTTTTCTAACATTACTTGGGTCACAAAAAACTATTAAAGTTGCAAAAAGCCTTCGAAGAGCCATTGGTATTTGGAAGCACATAGCATCGTTGAGGCACTCAACAATGCTATTATCGCTTTCAAGTAGACCTCTTCTTTCTGCCGACTCTTTAAATGTTACACATTGGAGACCATTAACATATAATAAATCTTTATATGATGTTGGTCCACGCACGTGGTTTAACAATAATCTTAAATAATACCTTTCTCCTTCGGAAGGGTTGGCGGCATTAACTCGTCCTATTACCGCCTTGTGGTGTCTGGGACTCCAACATTTATTTTGCTTGTTCCAAACATAATGCTCCGGAATCTCCCTATACAAATAGTCTCTACTTATTTCAGATATGGAGTTTAAATGAAAGAATTCTGTCAACATTGTGCGTGATATATCTTCAGAACGAACGATATATTCTAGGTTTTTGTTCTCCCAATACCAAAATATGTGTTTATTTGGAAGGTGTAATTGGAGGTTGGTAACCGAAGGATACATCTCATTTAAGTTAAACTCATAAAGTCTCCACATTGCTTCTTGTGGTGATACCCATCGTGCATCCTGATATTCTTTTATTTCATCTACGAAATTCCCTCCATCAACATTTGAGATGTGAATCGCAACACGATCATGTCCCTTGTATATATATTTATAGAGATATTTTACTGCTGTTATTCCCGAGCATATCTCGACATTTATATGGCAGTCATATTTCTCTAAAAGATATGGATTATAAGGAACAACCCATCTGTTATCTAACATTGCATTACGCACAAAGATTATTTGGCCGTTTTTTCTTCTTCTGTATATAGGGTATGAATCTTTACCTTGAATCGTATGTTTGACAAATTTACGTGGATAAAGATTTTTACATTTCCCATCCTTCATGCATGCATTCTTTTTGTTGAGATCTCCGCAAGGACCATGAATCATATGTTTCACTACTTTCCGATAAAGTGATGGATTTTCATTCTTAGAAGGAATTTCTGCACAGACCAATTTGTCGTATTGTTCTGCATTTGTAATTTTGAATTCAGATTGAAATATGAGCAATATGTGTGCGTGTGGCAAACCTCTTTTTTGAAACTCAATCACATGAATATGCGCTGCCACTTTTCCAAATATCGATCTTTTAAATAATTGTTGGTTCACATCATATAGCTTTGCTCTGAACACTCTAGCTGTTAAATCTGGTCTATCTTGTGGTAACTGCCCAAATTTCAGTTCGTCGCGAATTTCTTTCCAATCAGGATTACAAGTCATTGTAATAAAAAGGTCTGGTTTTTCGAATCTCTGAACCAAACACATGGCATCAAAGTATCGTCTACGCATATCCCTAGAACAACCTATGAAAGAAGCAGGAAGAACAACCCTTTTTCCAACTTTATCTCCTCTAGATTCTCCTGCTACAATGCTATCAACAATTCCTTGGTATAATTCAGATCGAATATGTGATTGTTGTGTCCGGTAGTAATCTAAACGAGTCGATTCAAGCTTAATGTACATATCAACCACATATTGTTGCAAAAGTCTTCCAGCATATAATAGAATTGATCGTTCTTTTTCACGTATTTGGAGTTTGTAGCAATAATATTGTCTGCATGAAACCTTTTTTGTTCTTCTTGCTACATCATCGTAAAATAATTTATTAAAGTTCTTGAATTATCACTTCAATAAATATGTGAATCAATTTTGTTTATTTAAATAATATATTGCATTAAGATTTACCTTGTTCAACTCTTGTTGCAATATCATGTTCAAAAATATCTTCTTCACATGTAACATGTTGAACGATACTTGGTTGATGTCGTGTTTTGATATTACGATGCCATCCAATTTCACTAAATGGAAATAATAAAGGGTATTGTAATGGATCATAACATCCAAAGTAGTGCCTTACTCTATGTCTTCTTCCTGAGTGCGCAGTAACAATTATATCTCGTTCTGAACGTGTATTTGAATTTGTTCCTTCTATCCACACAGCTGCAACTTGGTTCGATGAAGGTGAATTGTAAACTCTTTAGTCTAGGCGAACATCATTTTTTATAATGATCTCATAACTCTCTTGGACAGGAATATCTTTTAGCCTTCGGAAAAACTGTTCGTATGGATTTGCAGATAATATCTCCATTAACTTTACGACAATCGGCTCTTCCAAATTTGCATCTTTAAGAATTCTCATTCTATTTTGCAATTCATTATCAGTGTCATAGAAGTATAATTGGAGGTAACACGGTCCATTATCTCCAAGTGTAAGTGATGGTAATTCATGGTATACTTGACCTTGTGCACGAAAAGTATAGATCCCGGTTTTCATATTTGATAAATTTTTATCAAGACGGACTCCAAATGATGTAAAGGAGAATATACTATTATAGGCACGCAAGTTACGGTGGAAGTCTACAGATAATGCACTTTGGCTTGTGAACAATTCATATAAATCATTAGGCACATTCGTAGACATTAGGACTACTTTATCATTTGAGCAACAGAAACTTGGAGGTTCGTATTCAAATTTTTTTGCATAACAAAATTCACATTGTGGGACCTTCTTCAACTCATGGGACATTGTGTCATTATATGGTTTTTCCATCTCCTCTCGTTTTCTTTTCTTTATTGAATTTCTTACGTTTTGAATATGGTTGTCTCTTTGGTCAGGTGAAAAACTTGCATATCTATTTCTGTAATATGCATTCAATCTAGCACATCTATTATCGTGTCTCATCGAATTGTTTCACCTAATAATAGAAAATATAAAGTAAATAGAGATGGTGTTTCCATATGAAATATATATGTCTAATTGAATAGTTCACCTTACAAAGATGATCTTATTACATCTAATTAAAAATAGGGAAAAAAAGTAAATCTATGTGTTTAATTGAACGGTCCAGCATACAAAGATCTATCGCGTCTATTATCGTGTCTAATTGAATTGTTCCTCCTAATAATATAAAATAAAAAGTAAATAAAAATAGTGCTTCCATATTAAATATATATGTCTAATCCACCTTACAAAGATGATATTGTTACATCTAATAGTAGAAAATATAAAGTAAATTAAGAGGGTGTCTTAATATAAAATCTATGTGTTTAATTGAATAGTCAACCATACAAAGATGATATATATATTTCTAATTACAAGCTTTTATGCATTCTATATATTCGTTGAAATTAAATAAGAAAGTAGCTTTACCGGTAAGGAAAAATAAACTATTCAAGACCCTAATAAATGCTTTAATATTAAATGCACCAAATGCACCAAAAAAGAAAAAGAAAAAAAGCTAGCTAAAAAAAAATTAAATTGAAAAGAATAAATTTTCCACTCACTTGTAAATTTTATCCCCTTTATTTGAAATTAGTAATGTATTTTCTTTGACCTGCATACGTCATTGATATAAACATAATAAGGTTACTACTTTTTTTATAAAAAAGAAAGAAAGGAAAGAGGCCTAAAAAACAACGTACAATATGTAGTCACACATCAAGTCATGAACATAAACTTATTTTCCATGTTATAGTTTTTCTCATGCAATAATTATTTGAGAAGTATATAATATTATATTATTACAAAAAGGTGTATATAAAAAATACAAATAGAATACATAAGTAATTAATTAAATGATTTAATTTTATATAAATAATAAAATGCGACTTTTAGAAGAGGTGTTAGTAGTTATTTGAGAAGTATATAATATTATATTATTATAAAATTATAAAAAGGTGTATATAAAAAAATACAAATAGAATACATAAGTGTTTATAGTTAAAAGGTAACTTTTTGAAGAGGTGTTAGTGCGGTTAAAATGTGTTTTTTAAAAGGTGTTTTTGAAGAGGTTTTAGTGGAGTAATTAAATGATTTAATTTTATATAAATAATAAAAGACGACTTTTAGAAGAGGTGTTAGTAGTTATTTGAGAAGTATATAATATTATATTATTATAAAAAGGTGTATATAAAAAAATACAAATAGAATACATAAGTGTTTATAGTTAAAAGGTAACTTTTTGAAGAGGTGTTAGTGCGGTTAAAATGTGTTTTTTAAAAGGTGTTTTTGAAGAGGTTTTAGTGCAGTTAAAAGGTGACTTCTAGAAGAGGTGTAAGTAGGTATTTGAAAAGTCACATTTATTTATTAAAATAAATTAAATGATTTAGTATTGAACATCTACAGTCACCAATTTATATGCTGTCATAACTGGCTCATACCTATCCTAAAAATATCATACATGCATAAAGTCAATAAATTATCAAATTTTCTTAAATTTACACATAAATTAAGTCAAGCTTTGCAAACAGTTCCATACATCTGATCAAAATTCTGTTAAAATTACAAATGGTAAGCAGTTGATCACAATAACTAATGTGCAAAATTTTCTGCGATAACATTAGGATTCAAGCCACCTAGCATGAGATTGAAACATCAGTGATTAAATGATTTAATTTTATATAAATAATAAAAGGCGACTTTTAGAAGAGGTGTTAGTAGTTATTTGAGAAGTATATAATATTATATTATTATAAAAAGGTGTATATAAAAAAATACAAATAGAATACATAAGTGTTTATAGTTAAAAGGTAATTTTTTGAAGAGGTGTTAGTGCGGTTAAAATGTGTTTTTTAAAAGGTGTTTTTGAAGAGGTTTTAGTGCAGTTAAAAGGTGTTTTTTTAGAATAGGTGATTTTAGATATAAGTGTTTGCAGTTAAAAGGTGACTTCTAGAAGAGGTGTAAGTAGGTATTTGAAAAGTCACATTTATTTATTAAAATAAATTAAATGATTTAGTATTGAACATCTACAGTCACCAATTTATATGCTGTCATAACTGGCTCATACCTATCCTAAAAATATCATACATGCATAAAGTCAATAAATTATCAAAATTTTCTTAAATTTACACATAAATTAAGTCAAGCTTTGCAAACAGTTCCATACATCTAATCAAAATTCTGTTAAAATTACAAATGGTAAGCAGTTGATCACAATAACTAATGTGCAAAATTTTCTGCGATAACATTAGGATTCAAGCCACCTAGCATGAGATTGAAACATAAACTAACTCTAACGTTTGAATTTTGGAAAACGTTAACTTCTTCTTTTCAAAGTGATTAAACAGATGCTTTAAGCAAACAATAGCTGCAACAGCAACAAAAGCCAAAGCTACAATCTCAAAGAACACAAAACTACTTTTCGCTTGCATGGACTAATTTACTTAAGGGGCTTAAAGTGTCAAATAATTTAAATCTGTACCTATGAAGTTGAAAGGTCTTTTCTGTGAGTAAAAGAATCAAGGCTTCAACTATGTGAGCAGCACAACATGACAAAAACCAAAAACCAAAAAGGAGCATGAAAACAGAGAAATGTGCAAAACAGAACAGAGCTAGGTAATAAATAAATGTGATCAATTGAGAGAACACTACACCATCTATCATTTGGCAAACTTGGTAATAATCAATCAATGTTGCAAATATACGCAGTAGCTACAAATTTAAATAGGGAAAAAACAAAAACAAAAACAAAAGCAAAAACAAAAAAAATCTTGTTATTGTTATTTGTAACCAATGCTCTATGAATTTCACTTAGACGTGCTGTAAACAAAATGTCATTCAATAGGTATTTTTTTTCACCCTAAATTAAGCCAACGATGTCAATATATAGAGAAATTATTTACTTCAAAAGTAATAAACTTTCAAAATCGAATACAATACAGGCGCGAATGATTTTCAGGACTATGACCCAGAACGTTCAAATCATGCCCTAATTCTTTACGCATCCAAATCAGAATTGTTCTTTAATTCAAATATAAACATACCTTGAAAAAAAAAAAAAAAAAATTAAGGGTTTTGAGTTGTAATCTGATGTACATGAACCAAAAGAACGAGAACATCATGAATAATTCTGAATTATGGTCAACAAACTTCACATAATTAAGAAACATAATAGTAAAAAAAAATTCAAACATTCAGGGAAAAAAAAAAAAAATTCAACCATTGTATCCTCAAAAACAAAAATATAAATAACACAAAACATACCTTAAGCCAAAATAGGCCTTGAGTTATGCGCTTCAACCAAATACTGATTTTTGAAGTAGAGTTAGATAATAAATGTTGAAAGAAAAGATGGGTAGAAGAAGCAAGAGGGGTAGAAGAAGAAGCCAAAAAGGTAGAATGAGAGAGGCAAGATCTAATCCGCCGATTATATATAAGGTTCTTCAGACACCAACAACCGAGTAGACATGAAAGAAGAAGACGTGTTGGTTTGATTGAAATTGTTTTGAAACAATGAAAAAAAAGGATTTTTTTTATTTTTTATTTCAAAGAAGAAGGGAATAAAAAATAAAGAATAAAAAAAAAAACTGCCAAGTAAACAAGAAGAAGACGTGTCGGTTTGAACAATTGAAACTAATGGAAAAGAAAAATTACACGGTCTCTTGAAGAACTGCTTGGTATATATAAGCTGACCAAATGCCGGTGATGCAGAAGGCGAGCACCAGAACACGGTGGAGTCCGGCGCTGTGAGACTCCATCGGAGTGCTGGAGATCACCGGAAACACCAGTTCCGGCGAGCTGCGTGGGTTTTCAGACGGATATTTAAGACGGAGAGAGATGAGAGAATGTGAGATCTGAAAAGAGTATTTGTGAAGAATGAAACGACGGGACAATTCTCAACTGTCAAATGGAGTGAGAGCGCTCAAAGCTACGTTGAATTTCCACGCGTCGGATTTTTATTGGTTAGATGATTTGTTTCTTGAGATTTGATTGGCTAAGCAAACGCAGACTCTTGCAGTATATATTCGTATATATTCAACCAGAAGAAATAAATTTGCCAAGAGGGCATGCCACGTGTTGTTTGAGAATGGAAGGTTTTAGTGAGAAATTATTCGAAAATATATCTATTTACCGTGTCAGTTTGTGGAGAATATATGTATACAATATCCCAGTAAATGAACACTTTATTTCTTTTAAAACTCTTAATTTTTCTATTATAAAAAAAAGGGTTAATTGTTTTGACACTTGTTTGGAAATAATTTGCAATATGTCCTTTATCTTTGTTTGCAAGTATCTTTGTTTGGAAGCATATAATTTTGTGATTTAATCAAATTGGCAGGACCAGTACAAATTTTTATGATTCAATAACGGAAGTAATTGTAAAAAATGAAGTAATTATAAGAGTTCTAACCATGTATTTCAATTTGCATAGAAGTCTTTCCAAAGAGAATTTTTTTTCTTCACAAAGATGATGAGAGAGAGATGGATTCATACACACATTTTATTATGTTAAGAAGATAGTTTATCTTGAAAGAGAACAAAAATGAATTCTCACCGAATAGTTATTTCAATTTATCAATTTAGAAAGAACTATTTATACAGTCATGACAACTCTTTGAGATAACTCTTCAAAAAAACATTATGTTAAAATAACTTCTTATATATTATATTCTCCACCAAACACAATTAATCAATTAACATTTATTTTACATTACATTTAATAAAACATAATATAGATTACATTAAAAAAAGTCTTGATCATTCCATTTTGTTTAAGAACATGGATAATATTCCTCTGATGGATCCTCCTCTTCACTATCATCAGAACTTATGTGGATGACACTATTGTGCAATGTCTCGATTGCTTCTACTAACTCAGTCAACCTTTGTATTTCTTGTAAAAGAACTTTGAAACCAATATCAATTTTATGATTCAACTCAAACAATATCCTTTCCCATATATAAAATGGTGGTGAAGTAGAGCTACATGCTGTAGGATTGTCCCAAAGTAGTGGTCTTTTTTGGAACAGTACTTCTTTTGGAGTCATCTGTACTTTCTTACCATTTTTTTGAGTTGCCATCTACAGTGTCAAATATTAATTTGTTAGAAACTCACAATTAAAATTATAAAAAGAAATACTGAGAGACATAAAAAGTTTTCAGAGGTGAGAATAATTAGTATTAAATTTATTTAAGAAGTATAATGCACTTACAATGTTGGAGAAAAAGTTTTTGCGAGAAAAACATAACATGAAAGAGTTTTTTTTTTCTTCTTGAGATCATATAACAATAGGCATCTTAACTGTTGATGTCTTTTAGAAATTACGTTACAGAAAGTAAATTTTTTTTTTTTTTTCAAAACGTATATAATTAAAGTTTATTTTTTAATTAAAAAATCCAAAATATAGAGTTGAACACTTATTTAAATTTAAATTTTAAAATTGTTTAAAACAAGAACTCATTGGGAAAAAGAAAGAAAGAAAGAAAACAAAAACTAACTCTTAATGTGCAAAATTTTCTGCGATAACATTAGGATTCAAGCCACCTAGCATGAGATTGAAACATAAACTAACTCATAACGTTGAATTTTGGAAAACGTTAACTTCTCCTTTTCTAAGGGATTAAACAGATGCTTTAAGCAAACAATAACAGTAACAACAAAAGCCAAAGCTACAATCTCAAAGAACACAAAACTCCTTTCCGCTGGATTCAAGCCACCTAGCATGAGATTGAAACATAAACTAACTCTAACGTTTGAATTTTGGAAAACTATAACTTCTCCTTTTCTAAGGGATTAAACAAATGCTTTAAGCAAACAATAGCAGCAACAACAACATAAGCCAAAGCTACAATTTCAAAGAACACAAAACTACTTTCCGCTTGCATGGACTAATTTACTTAAGGGGCTTAAAGTGTCAAATAATTTAAATCTCTACCTATGAAGTTGAAAGGTCTTTTCTGTGAGTAAAAGAATCAAGGTTTCATGCCCTAATTCTTTATAGATCCAAATCAGAATTGTTCTTTAATTCAAATTTAAACATACCTTTTAAAAAAAAAAATTACGGGTTTTGAGTTGTAATATGATGTACATGAACCAAAAGAATGACAACATCATGAATAATTCTAAATTATGGTCAACAAACTTCACATAAAAATAAAATTCAAACATTGTATCCTCAAAAACAAAAATATAAATAACACAAAACATACCTTAAGCCAAAATAGGGTTATGCGCTCCAACTAAATACTGACTTTTGAAGTTGAGTTAGATGGTAAATGTTGAAAGAAGAGATGGGTAGAAGAAGAAGCCAAAAAGGTAGAATGAGAGAGGCAAGATCCAATTTGCCGATTATATATAAGGTTCTTCAGACACCAACAACCGAGTAAACATAAAAGAAGACGACGCGTTGGTTTGATTGAAATTGTTTGGAAACAATAAAAAAAAAGTAACTTTTTAAATTTTTTTTTAAAGAAGAAGGGGATTAAAATAAAAAAAAAACCGCCGATTTAACAAGAAGAAGACGTGTCGGTCTGTTATAAGAGCGCTCAAAGCTACGTTGAATTTCCACGCGTCGGATTTTTATTGGTTAGATGATTTGTTTCTTGAGATTTGATTGGCTAAGCAAATGCGGACTCAACTAAAGGGTTAAATCTGTTTGGTATTTTTTTTTTTTTTTTTAAAAAAAAAGGACGGAAAGGGAAACTGTTTTGGTATTTTAGAATTTTAAAAATAAAAAACGTTGAATTTTCACGCGTCGGATTTTTATTGGTTAGATGATTTGTTTCTTGAGTTGGCTAAGCAAACGGGGACTCAACTAAAGGGTTAAATCTGTTTGGTATTTATTTTTTTTATTTTTTTATTTTTAAAAGGACGGAAAGGGAAACTGTTTTGGTATTTTAGAATTTTAAAAATAGAACGAAAAGGTATCTTTTTTTAAAAGGCAAAACGTTGCGTTTACAATATAATAGAACGAAAAGGTATCTTTTTTTAAAAGGCAAAACGTCGCGTTTACAATATAATACAAAAAGTGTACATAAAAAATAAAAATAGAATATACTTTTATAGGGTAAATATATATATATATATATTATTAAAGTTTATTATAAAAGAAAGTAAAATAAATGGTGGGACCCCCCTCCTATTATAACAAAGGTAATGCCATTACCTTTCGACAGAATCAGACCAAATCTCTCTCTCGCTGAAACAAAAAAAAAAAAAAATTCTTTCTTTTTTTCTTTTACAACTTCTATCATTGATTACTCTTCAACCACTTGGAGTTTTTGGGTGTTGTTGGTGGCAAATCAAAGAGCACGGCGAGATCTACGTGTGAGTATCAGCAATTTCAGTTTTGGTGCACTCTAGGGATTTCAAAATTCTAGGGTTCTTAGGCTCAAATTGGGATTTTTTTTCTCAAATTTGAGGTAGGGGTGTTCTAATGCATGAATTCTTGTATTTTTGTGAGTTTTCTAACTTAAAGTGATGCCTAGCATGTTTAATTAGTGCTAATTCTTGCAAAGATAGGTTTTAAATAATGAGCATGGAATGTATGTGACTACTTGTTAATTGTTTTAAGGTGATTTAACATGCTTACATGTTTATATGCAATTGAATTTATATTTTACATGCTAGATATGCAAAATTAATATTAAATGAGAGTTTCATCATGTAGTTTATAAATTTGCCTTATATAGTATGTGTGAAAGTTAGTGGCGTAGCCACATAGGGACAAGTGGGGCAGCTGCCCCCACTGAATTTTTAATTTTTTTTAATTATTTTTAATTTTATATAGAAAGATTTTTATATTTGTATAATTGTCCCCACTAAAAGTTGACATTGTACATATATATACTATATATATATAACCAAATGACCATTCACGGTATTTTCCCACTTTTTTCAAAAATACAATATATTCTTTTACACTTTTGACTTTACCACAAACAAATGCGATATTAATTTCCATCACATTTTCAATCTTCAACATTTTTCTTTCGGCGAGTCTTTAATATTTCAAAAATTCACAAAATCTAAACAAATATTGCAGTACGGAGATAGGTAATCTGATATATATTTTTTTATCATCTAAATTTACTATTATTATGCCATGAACATTTTAAAAACTCGACTGCGTGCTTTCAAAATATGAAAAATATTCTGAAATATTTAGTACTGTTTAATTTTTACATATATTATTTTGGTTCAAATATTGTGTGTGTGTGTGTATATATATATATATATTATTGCTGTTAAAAATTGCCCCCACTAAAGGAAATTTCTGGCTACGCCACTGGTGAAAGTTATATGGTTGGGTTGATAAATTGAAGTACAAGCATTCATGCATTCATTGGGAAAGAGAAATGGAGAAAAATATTTTTAGAACAAACGAAATTGTTTTGAAAAAAATATTTTCTAAAAGTGTTGCAAAAACCGGACGCCTAGGAGGCGCCTAGTGGTCCGTGATGTTGGTGTAATCTAAAAGGGTGTAATCTAGAAGGGAATGTAGTTGATTAAGTAAGTCTGATGCGACGCCTTGGAGGTGCCTTGTGGTAGTGGATAGTTAACCAACCTTCCTTTCGTGACGCCTTCGAGGTGCCTTGGGTCGGATTACACTAACGGTTTTGTTGTTGAAACGGAATTGTTTCAGAAATGGGGAGCGACATTTGCATAACATTGCACTTCATGACATAGTGGGAAATTTGTGATTAGTTGACATTTGCTACATACTTCTTGTTGTAGTTGAGAATATGTATTCCACATGGTATGACCACGTTCCTTTTTACCCATTATTTGTTTGGAATTCACGGGGAAATAAGAAATGTGTCTTAGACACTTCCCACTGAGCTTATGCTCACCCATTATTTTTAACATTTTTCAGGACATGGAAAAGAGATGGCGAACGACGATCCACCAAAATTTTAAACGAGCTTGGAGATCTATTTTATTTTGCTATCTTTTGTATTAGAGCTTTAATATTTTGTAAATGTAATCTTAACTATTCTGTGAAATTTTAGTTTAATTGGTACAGTGTTGTAAGTTATGGACTTTTAAATTTTAGCTACATTTTATGGACTGTAACTTGATGTAACTAAGGTATGTTCCTTGTTTGGATAAAATGGAGGAAGGAGATTTTTTTATATATATGTAATCATTTTTGGAATGTGATATAATAATTGTATTGTGCGTTGGGATATGATAGGTTATTTTTAAGCCCAGTGAGGCCATTGCATTTTTTTTTGTATTTCAACAGGTTGTAGATGGACTTTTTTTGCGGAGGTCATGCCGAAATTTTATATATTTTATTATTATTATTTTGGTATTTTTTTGGGTCGGTACAATAACCTTCCAGCATTTTTGTATTATAAGAAAGAATACACTTCTTCTTTCTATAACATTATAACATTTTTGTTAAGGCTTTCTTTTCATGGACTCAAGTTTCTCGAGATAAATGAACTTTCAAAAAATAAATACAATAGAGAAAGAAAAAAGGAAAAAATAGCAATCTAAAACTCATAGAAACAAGTTGACATACAAATATTATCTAAATTAAGCAATAATGTTTTAAAAATTGAATTAACAAATGCAAATCAAATGAAAACCAAAACAATTGAAGGCTCTGAATAACATGAACAACCAAACTCAAGTCCTCATTAGAGGAAGAAAAGAAATACATGTAATCTAAAGGAAGAATACAACAAAATACTCATATTCAAATAAGTACTTCAAATTGAGTACAAGAAAACTCAATAATTGTTAATTTATTGAACGAAGCCTAACAATCCTTTGATCATCACTAAAATATAATTGTTTATATATATATATATATATATATATATATATATATATATATATATATATATAATTAGCATTTTGTAATCCACATGGATCAAACACAAAAGGAATAACCTTCCAGCATTTTACATTGTAAGAAAGAAGACACTTCTTTTTTCTATAACATTATAAGAGCATCTCCAGCGGTCTGTTAAAAAACCCTTTTGTGTAAAATTTACACTGCCACATGTGATTTGTAAATTTTTTTCATCTCCAGCAGTCTGTTAAGATACACTGCCACATCACCAATGTGTAAAAGGGTTGTATATTTTACACATCACTTTTATACTGCCATGTAAGCATATTTTCTCTCTCCTCTCCTTTCTCACTCTTCTCTTTCATTCCTTTACGCCTCTTTGTTTCCCACTTTTCTAGAGTGGAATAGAGAATAATCTGTAACTAGCGGCAAAGTAAGAATTAGTCGACCATTTTTTATTTATTTATTTTAATAACATAGTTTAATTCATCACTTCCGTTTGATCTTATCTTCTACAATCATACTGTAGATTCTAGGATTTTTTTTAGATTTTTTATCCTTTTACATTATATTCTAATGAGGTAAATATGTATTAGCCAAAAATTAGATATACATTTTAATCATGTATTTTCCACATACTTAAATCTTATTTTATTATTTGTTATAAGTTAGAATTCCAGTGGCGATGGCATAAAAGGTTTGCTATTGGCGGGATGCGAAAGTGAAATATAGAGGGAAATTATTATTTTTTTCCTAATTGAGGAGAATTGGGACGTGAGATTTAATCGCCAAAAAATAAATTGAATAAGTAGATTTGTAAAAGTTATGTAGGGTCTTAGGTATGACACGTGGCTGGTTGTTATTGGGGGATAGTTTTTTACATAAGAGGTATAAAACTACTGCTGGAGTTAAAAATAGTTGGTACAATTTTTTTTTTTTTTTTTTGTGTAAATCTACTCTGACACATTAGATTTACACAAAAAAAAATTAACAAATCGCTGGAGATGCTCTAACATTTTGTTAAAACTTTCCTTTCATGGACTCAAGTTTCTCGAGATGAACGAACTTTCAAAAAATAAATACAATAGAGAAAGAAAAAAGAAAAAATAGCAATCCAAAACTCACAGAAACAAGTTGACATACAAATACCATCTAAATTTTTTCAAAAAATGAGACCAAGAAAAATTAAGCAAATTTTTTTTAAAAAAAATTGAATTAACAAATGCAAATCAAATGAAAACCAAAACAATTGAAGGCTTTGGATAACATGAATAACCAAACTCAAGTCCTTATTAGAAAAAAAAAAAAAGAAAAGAAAAGAAAAGGTACATGTAATCTAAAGGAAAAATACAACAAAATACTCATATTCAAATAAGTACTTCAATATGAGTACAAGAAAACTCAATAATTGTTAATTTGTTGAACGAAACCTAACAATCATTTTATCATCACTACGCCTAATATTAAAATAATTTAATATGAATTCATCACTATGAGTTAAACTGAGTAGAGAATTCAAAACAAGCAAATAACTTAACCAAGCTAATTGATGCTCCTAATTTGTTGCACATGAATTCTCATCCTCACTACCAAAGCTAATTGATGAAATATGCTCCTTGATACTTCTTCTTCTTGTGATCCCTACTTGTAATGCTCTTGTTAACATCTAATCTTTTTGCTCCCTCAATATTGGAGCTTGATCTTGTAATTTTTACCTCTATTTATATAATAGACTTTTATGTTATTGTTCAAAAATTGAAGAGACATCAAATACTATTAAAGTTTGGAAATTTCAAAAATTACAAAAGTTTTACATTAAACATAAAAATAATAAACTTTTAACAAAATTTAAGGTTAAAAATTCCAAGAGGTTGTATCCGTTTTGTAGTCCACTTTTAATGACAATTTTTTAGGTTGAAAATCCCAAAGGTTATCGACTATTAAAAACATGAAATGAAATTCAAGTAATTAATGTCCACCAATACTTTTTAATGAAATTGGATTTAATTTAAAGTGAAAAAAAAAAAGTTAATAAATACTTGGTTGGAGATTTTAAGTATCAACATAAAAATAATACAGTTTTAATAAAATTTAAGGTTGAAAATTCCAAGGGTACCATTTCACTTTTAATCGGATTAAAAACATGTTTTTTTGGTTTTCCTCAACTTTTTTCGTAAAATATTAGGTCATATATAATATATACAATCTATATTATTAATGAGACATGATTCATTATGCTTTAATCAACTTTTTTTGTTTTAACCTTTCTGGAGGCATTTTAAATCATATATAGTTGATATATATGTTAATAAAATTTCTAAATTTAAAATAAAATAAAAAAATTGGAAATAGAGAAAATGTCTGAAGTTGGGTAGACGTGTGTTTTATAAATGAAAAATGGTACATTTTTTCCTTATCCTTTTACGTTTTCTTTTTTTGTTTGTTTGTTTGTTGTATGTTTTTTTATTTTTTAAACAAGGTTTTTTTGGGAGGAAATTTTTGGGAAGGAATGGGTTTGCTTTTAAATATGATTAATCACTGAATTCCAATAGTCACATATCATTAATGAGTGTATATATATTTTTATTATTTCTTATCATTTTTAACAATTTTGAATTAGAGTATTTATTTAATGGTTAAAATTAAGAGTTAATAAAAATATTTTTTATAACTAAATATACACATACCTGAATCAATATTCAGAAAAAAGGGAAAAAAAAAAAGAAAGGAAAAATATTTTTCATCCCACTTCTTAAAAAGCAACCCATTTTCCTTCCCCAAAAATTCCATGCCCTAATCCACAATATTAAAAAAAAAAAAAAAAGAAAGAAAAAAATACTAAAATTGTAAAGAATTTCTTAACATTTTTTAATTTTTAATTTTAATGTGTAAAATACTCTCTATTTCTTAATATTTTTAATTTGTTTTTCATAAAAATGTCTCATTAAATTATGTAATTATTCATACCATAATGATACATTTTTTTGGTTGTTGCAATTCTAATTATTCATACCATAAGGATACATTTTTTTGGTTGTTGCACTTCTTGAACTTCTAACACAATAGTGTGGAGATATTCAGGTTCTCATTAAATAATGTAATAATTCATACCATAATGAGACTTTGTTTTTCTTTTTTTCTTTTCTTTTTTTGCTTTTTTTTTTTTTTTGTTGAAATGTATTTTTTGGTTACATATATTTATACCTAAAATAATTTATTTTTTATTCTAAAAATGTAAAGAGTTTTTTGAATTCCTAAACATTTTTCATATTTGTTAAATAAAATAATTTTGTTAAATATATCTTTTTGGTTATATATCTATACCTAAAATAATATATTTTTTATTCTAAAAGTGTAAAAAAAAAATTTGAATTTCTAAACTTTTTTCATATCTTTTTGTTGGAATATATCTTTTTTTCCTTTTAAGTTTTTTTCCTTTTTTATATTTGAGAATATGAAGAATAAAAATTATAATTAATTTGATTTAAAAATACTTTTAATATCCTTTTAATATAAAAATTAAGATTTAAATATATACATATATAAAAAGAGTTAAAGAATTTGAACAATCAAATAGTATAATTAATCGGATTAAAAACATGTTCTTTTGGCCTTTCTCAACTTTTTTCATGAAATATTAGGTCATATATAATATATACATTTATAATCTATACTATTAATGAGGCATGAATTATTATACTTTAATGAACTTTTTAACGAGACAAGATATATATATATATGTTAAGAAATTCACTACACTTTTAGAATAGAAATATAGTGTGTGTGTGTGTGTGTGTGTATATCTAAAAACTTATACAACATCAATTGTAATTATTATGGGATTTCCTCATGAGTTTACACATCATAAATCAAATGTCAAATTTAGTTCCGATAATTTTTTAATCTTTTACTGAAATTCTAGATATGAAATGACCTTGTTTAAGATTTTAAACCTTTCAAGTTGAGGAGGACAATTCAAATCCCATGGATGTATTAGATTCATAATCCTTCCATCAACGGGTTCCATGGCTTTCACACAAGTCATAATTCATGCAAAACCATAAAAAGGGACTAAGAAGAAAGAAAATAAATAAATAGTCAAGTGCAAACAAGAGATTAGTTAAAAGATTTACATGAAAAAAAAGCTTAAAATGCTAATATTTGATTATAAATTTGTCATGATTAAAAAGCATGTATTAACCGTTAATCCTCATTATCCACTTCCCCTCCAGAATTCCAATTAAAACCTTGAGGGTTGGTTAACAAGATCCATATTCATTTGTAGAAGCAATGTCTCCTGAAAGTTAAAGGATATTGTCACCATGTATAAGAAAGAATATGCTAGTTTCACAATAATAAAGAATTGGTAATGAATAATTGGATAAAAACACCATAGCTATAAAACATCAAAGAGGGAAGCAAATAAAATATCAAAGAGGGAAGCTTTGCCTTCCTTTTTGGCCAATCAAAAGATATAGATAATTCTCCATTAATGCAACTCCAAAGAATCTCTCAAATTCCGAAACAATTTTGTGCAATTCAAGCTAGCAGACTATTTACAAATTCTTTGGTTCAGTGTAGGAAATGAAGCAAGAAATGAAAATGGTATATTACCCCTTTTCGGTTAAAACAGTGAAAAAAAATATCAAAAGGCACAAATGTTAAATCGTAATTATGAGCAATTGAATTGCAATTATTATGATTAAAAACTATATTTAATCAAATAATAAATTGTATTAGAAAATATTTTGTACACTTTGAATCAAATCAAAAACCTTATTTTTTAATTTTTAAAAATATGGGAAAAGTTTAGAAATTCAAAAAATTCTTTACACTTTTAGAATAAAAAATATATTATTTTAGGTATAGATATATAACCAAAAAGATACATTTAACAAAATTATTTTATTTAACAAATATGAAAAGCGTTTAGAAATTCAAAAAATTCTTTACATTTTTAGAATAAAAAATAAATTATTTTAGGTATAAATATATGTAACCAAAAAATACATTTCAACAACAAAGAAAAAAAAAAAAAAAAAAAAAGTCTCATTATGGTATGAATTACTACATGATTTAATGAGAACTTGAATATCTCCATACTATTGTGTTAGAAGTTTAAGAATTGCAACAGTCAAAAAAATGTATCATTATGGTATGAATAATTGCATAATTTAATGAGACGTTTTTATGGAAAAAAAAAAATTAAGAAGTAGAGAAAGTGCTTTACACATTAAAATGTTAAGAAATTCTTTACGCTTTTAGTATTTTTATTATTATTATTTTTTAATATTGTGCATTAGGGCATGGAATTTCTGGGGAAGGAAAATGGGTTGCTTTTTAAGAAGTGGGATAAAAAATGTTTTTCTTTTCTTTTTTTCCCTTTTTCTGAATATTGATTTTGGTACGTGTGTATTTAGTTATAAAAAGTACTTTTATTAACTCTTTATTTTAACCATTAAATAAATACTCTAATTCAAAATTGTTAAAAATGTATAGAAATAATAAAAATATATACACACTCATTAATCATGTGACTATTGGATTTCAGAGATGACTCATTTAATCATATGTGGCTATTGAAATTTTAAATAGTATATAAGTATATATTATAATGTAAAGTATTTAATGAAAATTATTTTGTATTTTTAAAAAATCTAAAAATGTTAAGAAATTCTCTACACTTTTATAATAGTGTATATAGAAAGAGTACTTTTATTAACTCCTTATTTTAACCATTAAATAAATACCCTAATTCAAAATTGTTAAAAATGTATAGAAATAATAAAAATATATACACACTCATTAATCATATGTGACTAATGGAATTCAGAGATGATTCATTTAATCATATGTGGCTATTGAAATTCTAAATAGTATATAAGTATATATTATAATGTAAAGTATTTAATGAAAATTATTTTGTATTTTTAAAAAATCTAAAAATGTTAAGAAATTCTCTACACTTTTATAACAGTGTATGTATATAGATATAGATATAGATATAGATTTAACCATTAAATAAATACTCTAATTCAAAATTGTTAAAAATGTATAGAAATAATAAAAATATATAAACACTCATTAATCATATGTGATTATTGGAATTCAGAGATGATTCATTTAATCATATGTGGCTATTGAAATTCTAAATAGTATATAAGTATATATCATAATGTAAAGTATTTAATGAAAATTATTTTGTATTTTTAAAAAATCTAAAAATGTTAAGAAATTCTCTACACTTTTATAATAGTATATATATATATAGATAGATAGATATTATAAAGGTAAATTTTGAATTGAGAAAAAGGGACATAAATAACTCCAAAAAAAAAAAAATAATAATAATTATTACTATTATGTTTTGATTATTGTAGGTTTCAAAAGTGTCCAAATTTTATATATTTTAGAAAAAATATATATATATATAAATATATGAGTCCAAATAACTATTTATTTTTAACTAATAGAAGAATTTATAGAAACTCATTTAAGATGATAAAATACAAAAATAGTTTTCATTAAATACTTTACATTATATCATATATATATATATATATATATATATATATATATATATATATTATTTAGAATTCTAATAGCCACATATGATTAAATAGTCATCTCTCTATATATAAAAGTTTTAAAAAATTCAATAGTCACGTGAGTTAAATAACTCCTCTCTTTATATATAGAATTTTAAAAAAAATCATATAATCACATGTGATTAATGAGTTAAATGAGTCATCTCTCTACATATAAAAGTTTAAAAAAAATCTAAGAGTCATATATGATTAATGAGTGCATATATTTTTTATTATTTCTATACATTTTTAACAATTTTGAATTCAAATATTTTTCTAAAGGTTAAACACACATACCCTAATCAATATTCCGAGAAATATATATATATATATATATATATATATATATATATATATATTTCGTCCCACTTTAAAAAATAGCCCATTTCCCTTCCCCAAAAATTCCATGCCCAATCCACAATATTCCAAATAAAAAAAAAAAAATCCCATTTTTTGCGCAGGAGTTCTCAGCAAATAGAAAAAAATCAGATATCTTGAATAGTTTCCAAATACAATTATTATTTTGTTGGCAACTTTACTCGAGGTATGTCCAAATAACTATTTATTTATAATTAATAGAAAGTCAAAATATGATAAAAACAACTAAAGAGTTCAAAATTTATACAAACTATTTTTTTAAAAATAATAAATAACTAAAGAGTCCCCAAAAAAAAAAAATAATAAAAAAGAGAAGAAGAAGAAGAAGAAGAAGAAGAAGAGAATAGAAACAAATAATAAATTAGAAACCTAAATTTAATTTTTTTAAAAAAAGAAACACAGAGTCCAAAATTCATAAAAACTTATTTATAATTATTACTATTATGTTTTGATTGTTATAGGTTTCTAAAGAGTCCAAAATTGATAGAAACTAATGGATGTATAATTTAAATATCCATGATTAAGGGAAGATTGCTAAATTAATGCACTATCTCATAAGATTAAGATATGTTATACAGATTACGATAATGATTAAAGATTATGATAAGAATTAAGTCTATAGATTACGAGAAGGTAACTTTACGTGACATTCTGACCTAAGTCCTATAAAGAAGGCAGGCTAATCAACGTTTTGAGGTACTCAATAAACCCTAACTCAATTTCTTGATTTCTCTGAAGAGATTACTTTGCACACTGACTTGTTCGTCGAAGCTTACTCCACCGGTAACACACGGGTGTTTGTAGGATCACCTTTTCTTCTCTTTGTTCGGGAAGTCAAATCAGATCCGGGTTGCGCAGAATCCATTATCAACAGAAACTCTTTGAAAAAAATAATAAATAATTAAAGAGTCTAGAATTTATAGAAAATCTTTTCAATAAATAGTAAATAACTAAAGTGTCCAAAATTTAAAAAAACTATTTTCAAATAATAGAATTAGAAAGGTAAATTCAGAATTTTTGAAAAAGGAACGTAGAGTCCAAATAGTTTTATAAAAACTCTTTTTAGAAAATAGTAAAATAGTACAAAAGAGTCCAAAATTTATAAAAACTACAAATAATAAATTCGAAATATAAATTTAGTTTTTTTCAAACAGAAACGTAAAGGCTAAAAATCATAGAAACTTATTTATAATTATCATTTTTAGAGGTTTCTAAAGAGTCCAAAATATATACAAACTCTTTTTTAAAAAGGCGAAAAATGTATAAAAACAATATAAAAAAAAAGTCTATTCGTCGTTTATATTTGTAGATAATTGAATTTGGACCATAAAAACTCTTAATTAACGTCTTCCATGAAAGAAAACATTTAGGAATAGGTAATAATTAAAAAAATAAAAATAGAATATCACAGTCACGAATGAATTTTTTGCAGATATTCTCACCAAACAAGCAAAGAATGGAAAAAAGCACACACCATGAGTGAAATCTTTTTTGCAGATATTCTCTACAAACAAGTAAAGAATGGAAACAAACAAAATGTCAAAAAAAAATATTGTAATTGTGGCAATAGGTATTCACGTTTACCAGGAAAAAAAAGTTACCCTGATAGGAAAATGTCACAAGTGATCGTTGGAGCACAACATGACGGTTGTAAGCGATCGTTGGAGCACAGCGTGACGGTTGTGGCATTTTCAATTAACACGGCGGCTGGGGAAGACCTGGTTTATAAAAGGCAAAAAAAAAAAAAAAAAAAAAAAGATCAGTGTTAGTTTTTGAACTTTACAACACAATTCAATAAAAATCTATATACCTTTAGAGTACAAATCAATGAAAGTCAAAAGGAAAATTTACCTTGATAGCAAAATGTTAAAATCAATATTGTAATTGTTGCAACATAGCTAAATCTAAGAGGATCAAATGAAGAAGAGTTGAGGTTTTTAATAAATAAAATTTGGAAATTAAAGAATATTAACAACAAAATACCTTCTTTTTTTTTGGTGAATAAAAATTAGGATAATACTTAGCTACTCACCGGTGAGTAGCTTCACCCTACTCACCCCTCATGTGTTCCAATAATAGCATACCACATCAGCTTTAATAAAAATGTTATTTAATGGTTGATTCGAGAAAATATAGGAGAACGTGGGTTATTTGGTTATTAAAGCTGATGTGGTATGTTGTTATTGGAACACGTGAGGGGTGAGTAGGGTGAAGCTACTCACCTGTGAGTAGCTAAGCATTATCCTAAAAATTATTGTATCAACATAGAAGCAAAATAAACTAACCTTTTTGAGCTCTTTGCAAGAGGTTCTCGTAATTTTTGTATTATTTCAATCTTGTCTCGTTTTTTCCCTTCTGCTAGTCATAAAGACAACATTTAATCAAAATAAAATATAAGATCCAAGGAAATAAACATGAATAACAACACGAAGGTTTGCAATGGAGATTGCATGAGTTAGAAATAAAAATACAATCATAAAATTAATTAAATTTTCAAATATAACTGAAATTTGAATAGTGAAGCAACCATTAGTACAATGATTAAAATGGTCCATTGTTGTATTATCTTTAAAGAATGAATAAAAACTGAAATTGGGAAGGTTGACCCTTCAAATTCAATATTAAATACTATTTTTCCAATTTCATATATTTTTTATTTTAAAAAAATTGAAATCACAAAAGACTAAATAAACTACATCAGTATAAAACAAGAAAACAAAATGCCAAAAAAAAAGTCGAATTTGGTTTGGTCCACCCATTAAGGGATATATAACGTATTGATCACACAACCTTCTTATTGGGAGATTTGTTGATTTAATTTTATCATAAATGATGACTTGGATTATCTTTAAAGAATAAACAAAAATTGAAACTTTAAAGAATGAGCAAAATTTGAACTTGAAAATTGGTCCTTCAACTTCTATATTAAATATTCTCTTCATATTTAAAGTGAATTTAAAATTTAAATTAATTACTCTCTTTTAATATCATATTTTTTTATTTTTAAGAAATCTAGAATAAAAATTATTGTATCAACATAGAAGCAAAAGAAACTAACCTTTTCGAGCTCTTTGCAAGAGGTTCTCGTAATTTTTGTATTGTTTCAATCTTGTCTCATGATATTTTTATCTCTTGCAATGAAATTGCAGTTGTTTTTTCCCTCCCGATAGTCATAAAGACAACATTTATGTCCAAGAGAATCAAAATAAAATATAAGATCTAAGGAAATAAACCATGACTTACAACACGAATGTTTGCAATGGAGATTGCATGAGTTATAAATGAAAATACAATCATAAAATTAATTAAATTTTCAAATATAACTGAAATTTGAATAGTGAAACAACAATTAGTACAATGATTAAAATGGTCCATTGTGTATCATCCTTAAAGAATGAATAAAAACTGAAATTGGGAAGGTTGCCCCTTCAAATTCTATATTAAATACTATTTTCCTAATTTCATATATTTTTTATTTAAAAAAAAAAATTAAAATCGCAAGAGACTAAATAAACTACGTCAGTATAAAATAAGAAAACAAAATACCAAAAAAAAGTCGAATTTGGTTTGGCCCACCCATTAAGGGATATATAATGTATAGATCACACAACCTTCTTATTGGGAGATTTGTTGATTTAATTTTATCATAAATGATGACTTGCATTATCTTTAAAGCATGAACAAGAATTGAGACTTTAAAGAATGAGCAAAATTTGAAATTGAAAATTGGTCCTTCAACTTCTATACTAAATATTCTCTTCATATTTAAAGTGAATTTAAATTTTAAATTAATTACTCACTTTTAATATCATATATTTTTTTTAAAATCTAAAAGTGTTAAGAAATTACTTACACTTTTAGAATAATATAGATATAGATAGATATATAAAAATACAAATATGAGGAGTGCTAATTGCAATTGCAGAACGATTGTTTGGATGTCCTATATATATATATATACCTTCTTTTTTTTTTTTTTTTCCTCACACTATACACCTACACTATATATAAAGATTGAGTATCTATATATACAAACACACTAGCTTTCCTTTTTGTGTATGGGTGTATATATATATATATATATATATGGATTCATAATAGAGAGATTACATGTTATATAATAATAATAATTATTATTATTATACACAGTCTCTATATATAGTTAAAAGACAATTAAAAAAGAAAGAAAATAATCCATAATAAACAAAAATAGATAGAAAGAAAATTGATAATCTTTCCTGAGTAACTAACATGTAATTTTAGGAATCCTAACCAATTATGTGACTGCAATTATCACTCCTCTATAAATATAATCTTCTTATTTCCTTTGTAATTGATTTTTTCCTTTTTTCCCCTCTCCCCTCTAAATTCATATTTGTAAATAATTAAGAAAGAATAAGAAAAATAAACCCTTATACAAAAAGAAAAAAACCCTTTTTCTTTAATTTTTTTTTTTTAATCATCTCGTCAATGTCTTTTTTTAATATATATATATATATATATATATATTTATATATATATAGTCATTGGCACACCACTCACACACTCACTTTGCTTCTTTGGAGACTTGAACCTTCACCAGTCACTTTAAGAGATAGAGGAGATACCACTGAGTCACAAAGCCCTTAGAGCATCTCCAACGGTATGTTAAAAAATTCTTTTGTATAAAATATACATTGCCACATATGATTTGTAAATTTTTTTCATCTCCAGCAATCTGTTAAGATATACTGTCACGTCACCAATGTGTAAAAAGGTTGTGTATTTTACACAGCACTTTTACACTGCCATGTAAACATATTTTCTTTCTCCTTCCCCTTTCCTACTCGTGGTTCTCTTTCTTCTCTCTCATTCTTTTACGCCTCTTTGTTTCCCACTTTTCTAGAGTGCCATCTTTTATTTATTTATTTTAATAAACATAGCTGATTCATCACTTTCGTTTGATCTTATCTTCTGCAATCATACTGTAAATTTTAGGGTTTTTTTTAGATTTTTTATCCTTTTACATTTTATTCTAATGAGATAAATATGTACTAGTCAAAGATTAGATATACATTTTAGTCACGTGGTTTCTACATACTTAAATCTTATTTTATTATTCGTTATAAGTTAGAATTTCAGTGGCGATGCGTGAAGGTTTGCGATTGGCGGGATGGGAAAGTGAAATATAGGGGGAAATTATTATTTTTTTCCTAATTGAAGAGGATTGGGACATGAGGTTTAATCGCCAAAAAGTAAACTAAGTAGGTTTGTAAAAGTTATGGAGGGCCTTGAGTATGACACGTGATTAGTTGTTATTGGGGGATAATTTTTTACACAAAAGCTATAAAATAACTATTGGAGCTAAAAATAGTTAGTATAAAAATTTTGTGTAAATCTACTCTGACACATCAGATTTACACAAAAAAAAATTTAATAGACCGCTGGAGATGCTCTTGATTAATAATAATATATACATTTAAACAACAGTAGTAGCACTTCAATGACATAAAATATATTTCTTTTTGCTATTTCGGTAGGAATGAAAGAAGAGGGGTGGAAGGAAAATAAAAAGGAATGAACTAATTTTCTTCATTTTGTAGGAATGATATAAGGAAATAAAGGATAATAGGAAGGATGAGTCATCCTTACTCCTTCACAAATTTTCATCTGCCTAAAAATGGGTGGAAGATAAGAGAGAAGACAAGTGAGTTTATTATAAAAGTTTTAAATTACTACATCACCCTTCATAAATATTTAATAAATTCCATAAATAAAGTAGTGATGTGTTTAATGGTAAAAATAACTTAAAATTTTACCTTTCCTTTTATCCTATAGATCAAATTAAATTAAATTGTCAATTTTTCTCTTCCAAAATGATGTCTTAGCCATCACTTCTTCTCTCCATTCCATTCAATTTTTTTCCTTCCTACCGAAAGGAGCAAAAATGAAAATCTTCAAAGTTATCAATTACAATAATAATACTATTCTACTCAAAATTCCTCAAGCTATATTTTTAAAAGTTACCAATTAAAATAATAATCATATTCAACTTATCCAATTTGAATATTAGAATAATAAGCCAATTCTAAAGTAAAGGGTTTTTCGAATTTCTATCCAATTTGAGTTTCCATCATACATACATATATATATATATGGTCAGAAAACATCCCTAAAGTATATTTATAGTGCATATCACATATTTCACGCGTAAAAAATACCCCTAAAGTTTCAATTTGGTGCAAATAGGTCCCTCTTAATGAACCATTTTATAAAGGGTTACGGGCAAAAAAACCCCACGACATGACAAATGTGCAAATACCCCTGTTGTTTGATAAACCCCTGCATTTTTTAGTTTGTGCAAATAAGGACAAATCTACAAATTGAGAGTAACTAAAAAATGAAATGACTAAAGTACCCTTATAATATATATATATATATATATATATATATATATATATATATACCTTTATCCTTTATTTTATAATAACTTTTAAATCTTGAAATTACTAAAAAACCCCAAGTAAATTTGGATGGGTTTGGTTACATGTGTATATTTTTATAAATTTATTTATATATATACACACTTGAATATTGGGTTAAATTTGATTTTTCAAAATAATTGAATATTGGGTTTATAACATAATATAGATAAATACTTAAATTTAAAGATTGCAAAATATCTATCTAAGTTGTGCTCGATGAGTCTTTAAAAACTTCAATTCATCGATAGTAGACTCCAAGTCAAGTTTTCAAATAAGGTCCAGTTCAATGTTGATGGTCATGCAATCAACAAGAAACTCATCTCCCATCGTGCTACGTATCATTGTTTTAACATGTCCCAAGCCTGAAAACGCTTTCTCCATAGTTGCTATAGAAACAAGAAGAGTCAAACACAAGACGGATCAATCTGTCAACCAAAGGGTAGTACTTGAACTTCCTTCTTACAACTAGTTCCGACATAAATCAGTAAGAGAATAAATATTATGAACCTCAGGATCACTAGGTACATCAACTTGATAATGCATCAACTGAAACTTCAATGTTTTAGCATCTTAACCAGTGAATTCCTAGGGATAGAATTTCTCAGCAAGATTGCATATCTTTTCTGCGTTAAAATATTTAAAAGAATCAATACAATCTAAAGCCGAGCTAAGAGTAAGAAATTCCACTACTTCATTGTTGAATCTATGTTCTAACTCCATCAACTGTAAATCTATTGCACGGTTGATAATATCAAAGTGATAATGGTGCTCAACTGTAATATGATCTTGTTACTGACAATGATGACTTGTACCCTTTACATAATGAGAACTCAAATCAGGTATATTAATGTTACGTCGATTGCAAAATGACACCACATTTGCAAGGAAAATATTTCAATCATCTTGTTTGAAATTTTGAAGGAGAGTTTTGGTTGTTAAGACTAATTTCAAAGCATTTAGAATGTATTGTGAGATTTGCATTGCAAGGCGGGGCAAAGTGTGTCAGTGTATCCCATAATGTTATCCATTACGTGTAAGATAAATATAAATTCAAAGCTTCTCATTGCCTCGTAAATACCTAAAACTTACCCACGTATCTGTTGACCTGCTTACTCTTTCCAAGACTTTCAACAACTATGCAAGATGCAGTATACATATGAATCATGTTGCTCACATAATCATAATGTGAGCTCCAACGAGGAACTCCAGCTCGATGCTTCGGATTAGCCCCTTAACCAGATTGACGTTCACCTGTGCTTAACATATGTGCAGTCTCATCCCTTTGAAAATATTTTAATTCACCAAGATGTTTGGGAGAGGAAGCAATAAGATTGACAATACAAGTCAGGTGAAAGAAGAATTGCCATATATTTGGCACATCTTTTGCTACTGAAACTAATGCTAGTTGTAATCGATGAGCAAAACAATGGGCATAATAAACAAATGGGCAATCTTTAAGAAATAATGCTTGTAGTCCATTTCATTTGCCGTGCATATTACTAGCACCATCGACCCTTGACCTCTAAAATTTGAATTGAAAAATCGAACCAAACAAGAATATCATATATTGTATCATTAAGCGTCACTGCTGATGTGTTTTCAACTCCCAGAATGTCAAAAAAATGTTCCATTAGCAAACCATCATACTTGACATATCTTAAAACAAGAGCCATTTGCTCCGCTTTAGACTCATATTGTACTTCATCAATAAGAAAACAATATTTGCCTCCCCACAACTTCCATCACAAATCATTTTTCTCACTCTATTTGCAAGAATATGAAGAATCTCTTTTTGAATCGATAAAGCAATGTATTAGGCATTTTGCAGATAATTGTCTAAGATAACACTTGAGAGTTCATTATTTCCTTTTGCTTTGTACTTTAACACTTTAATAAAATTACCTAGATTTAATGAACTTGAACTTTCATCATGGCCTCTAAAACCAATTCCTTGCAATGCTAGCAATTGAACGGTTTCAATAGTTGCCTTAAGCCGCATTCGATTCTTCAAAACCTCTTCGCTTAATTGGGCATTCAACACTTTATCAATATGTTGTGTTGATTTATTTAAATTTCCATAAAATAAGGCACATTTTCTATGTGGTGAAGATTGAAGTCCCATGTGTTTCAAGAATGCACAATTATCTCCATCATTAACTCTCTTCCAACTGTTAAATCCACCGTCAATAAGCGAAGAACAACTCACCGTCGTATTTCTATCTTCAAAGAGAAAGTATGGAAAACAATATGTTTTATCTTTTAAAGGAGAATACTCTAACTAAGGAAATTATTTGGCCCATTCATACTTGAATCGCCGATTCTGCCTTCCATTCCAAGAGTTAGGATAATTGGAATGTTTAGGTTTATAAGGCCCCAAATTGATATAAGCTCGTCGAACCTCATCCCTTTGATTCACCTGGTATTCATGTATTTGAATACGTAACCCATAATCTATTTCAATAGAAGTGGAATGAAGTTGCTTGGGTTCAACAACTTGAGGTAGGGCAAGAGGTTGCGAATCAAGATCATTGTCAATGTTAGATGCACTAGGTATATCCTTTTTCGATTAATCATCGTCACTCATTTGGCTACTCTTTTGATATAATGAGAGAATAGACATTCTTTCACTTTCTTGTACGTTTGAAGGTCGATGTTGAGCCATTATTATTTTAAACCTAATAAAATTAAAGAATGAATTAAATTAAAAATACTTAAATCAAAATATATAATTTATATGATTTACAGACTTTACAGTTCACACAATCCAATTCAATTTAAGTTCATAATATAATTCAAATTCCAAATACCATTTTATGTACAATTTTACAGCAAGTCTTTTAGATTATATAATTTATATGATTTACAATTCACACAAATACACAATTCATTTCAATTCAAGTTCACCAAATTAACAATCAAGTGAAAACTGCCACCTATTATACGTATTAACATATCAATTCAGTAGTCATTTACCCCTAATTCAAAAACGTATAAACTATAAGGAGAATAAATTTAAAATACTACATCTAATTTAGCATACTGCATACAGTAGTCTTTTACTCCTTTACCTCAATTTTGCCAATATACGTAAAATTCTGAATCTCTAAAATTGTATTTGTTTCAGCTACTGCCTAGTGCCTACACAAAAATAAATTTATTAGAAAATAAAAAGTTAAAAATTAGAAAGACAAAATAGTAACAAACTAACAATTTGTACTCGGTAGTCAATACTCATTTTTTATTTTATGAGTCAAAGTTTTTGTCTTTTTAAGATTTTGCAACTGATAATCTGAAATTCTGAATCTAAAAATTCTGTGAGTATATCAGACTATAACTTATACAAGGTAACAAGACTACTGGAAATTAAAAATTAAAAAAAAAAATAAATAAATACAGTTAGGGCTTTGAAGTATGACAATATGATTTTTTATTGAAAAAAAAAAAAAAACCCATACATATTTAATTTCATTATCCCTCTTTTATCTTTCCTTGAGAGTCGAAAACATAAACAAAAGTTTGAATCGGTGAAGGCAGAAAGCTGAAACTTTTTTAATTTTAGGGCTTTGAGAAAAGGGCAAAGGACTGGTAATATATCATATGAGATACTTTTTTTTTAACAAAGTAGTGTATGAGATACTCAAGGTGGGCACAGGAAAGTTTTCGAGCACTGAATTAAAGAATTGATATTATTTCACATTTATTATGCTATTATAGTCCTAGTTTACTAAGTATTAATATATTGGAATTGGGTTTAAAAAATCATTGGCCTTCATCGTATGGGTTTGATGTAGTCAAGGTTCAATGAATTTTTTTTTTTTTTTTTTTGGATGGAGTAATGTTTGGGTGGTCCAATTAGAAAAAAAAAAATATATATATATATATATATTATTTGAATGATCTAATACTAATAATAATAATATTATTATTATTATTTTTTGGGGAGTGGGCTTTGTTTATATATCAACTTTGTTATGGAGGGAGCCTCGTGACTAGGAAGAGTTTTGCTAATGTTAATTATGTTTCATAAGTTGGTAAAGTTTTGTCCAAATTTAGTGTTTTCAATTAAAATCTGCTTTTTTTATTCTATAATATTTTAATCTAAGGTTTTTAATTAAGTTCCCTTTTTTAAAAAAATAAAAAAAAAAAAAAAAGCTTTGTTGATATTTTCTATATTTAGATAATAGTATTTTTTTTTTTTTTTGAAATTTTACATAATTAAAATTTAGAATTTGAGTTATTTTTTTATTTTAATTTACCGTACCATCTACAAACTTATACTATAATATTATTATTAAGAAACTTCTCATTTTGATATCAAACTTTAAATTTTACTATTTATAAATATTATATAAACTTTGAGATTTTATTTTAATTCTATATTTTTTTTGTTTAAATTATATTTACATTAGTTGTTATTCACGTGCCACATACTTTTTCCTAATATTATTATTAAAAGCAAATAGAGTTTCTATCTTATATTTATATTAAAAAAATAAAAGGTTTAATAAAAAGTAGTATTGTGTTTTATATAAAATTCTAGATTGAAAAGAAGGTTTGATTTTATATACAATTCTAGAGTGGAAACGGAATTTAAGAAAGAAAAAAGATCATGTCAGATAGCCATTACATAGAATTCTAGAGTGGCTTTTGAACGTTTCGGCCAAAACCGCGGGCACCAAACAATGTGCAAAACAGACAATATTAACATGAATTTTGAACCGATTGTGAGATAAGCAGTCGTGGCCATTCTATGAGCACCAGACAACAATAGACACCAAATGGGCCTTGGCCTAACCGACTAGTGGTATCTCTCCTTTGACAAAGAAAAAGTAAAAGGATCAAGTGTTTTTTAAAAGACAAAAATAAATAAATAAAAAAGTTCAACTTAACATTTCATTTAGAAAATACTTGTTATTTGAATGTACGCTTCAGACTTTTATTATTATAAATTATTGAGTTATGTATAAATTTATTTTTCTAAAAAAACGTTTTTAATTTGTTAAATCTCAATTCTATGAAGGAAACAAAAATTAAACGAGGGATTTGAACCCACGCCCTTTCGGACCAGAGCCTAATCTGGCGCCTTAGACCACTCGGCCAAACTGTCTACTTTGTGTGAAAAACTTAGATAATATTATTATTATCATAAATTAAGCCAATTCAGCTTAATTTATGATAGGAAAACATTGCTATGAACCAACAAATACATTCCCATCAATGGCTACAGAGAACCACATGGGCCAAACAACATTCCATTCCAAATCTGAAGATTATTTTTGACTCTTTACCCACCGAAAAAACAAAATCTCCTCTGGTGAGCTAAACCCCTATTTCTTGACAACCACCACTCGATATCTTCAAAGATATATATCATCGAAAATCAAATGTTCTGATCAACCAAACTCAGGAGAAAATTTTCAGCACGTTTGATTGTAAATCCGGTTTTTGGCAATTAAAATTGACAAAAAAAAATTGTCAAAACCATTAACTGCATTCAGTACACCAAAATGTCAGTATTAGTGGACCGTAATGCCCTTACCTTCAATATATCAACCATGGATGGATAAGATCTTTAGAAACCTTACAGATTATATGTTGTAGTCTACTTCAATGATATATTACTAAAACAAGAGAAGATCATAAAAAACATTTAAAAAATCTTTGCACAAAATTCCAAAATCATGGATTTATTTTATCATCTAAAAAGATAGTTGTTGAACAAGAAACTATTGATTTCTTAGACTTAGTTTTAACACAAAAATGAATAAAACTACAAGATCACATTATTATAAAAATTCGTAATTTTCTTGACATTATTCAAGATAAAAAGCACCTTCAAAGCTTTCTTGAAATCTTGAATTATGGTCGCGCCTTTAGTAGAGGCTTCTATCTCAAAAAGAAATCCCTTTCATCTCACAAACCAAATGAGCAAAAATACACTATTTATGAAAAATAGCTTATGAACATTAAATTACCTAAACAGTATCATTTATGAACAATAAAAGCAAATTCAATCTTATCTACTATTCATGAACAGTAAAAACAGATTCGATCTTGAATCTGTTTTTACTGTTCATGAATAATAAATGTGACATGACTTCTTATAATTTTGCTCATTTGATTTGAATTTACCAGAATTATATCCACAAATTAATTCTTCTTTTTTGAAACTTTTTTGAAATAGGAGTTTTTCTAACTCTTATCTTGTGATATGTAAAATCAACTTCTTCCTATTTGTCTTTGGTAGTAGCTTTTAAGACGCATCCCTACTGAGATGTCTATTTCAAGAATAAGCTCACATCACCAATAAACTTTAAGAATAATAGCACGATCTTGTTTAATTTGTTCATCTTCTATCCAGTCAAAAATTTTATGTTTTTGAAGCTTCTTTATTAAAGGAATTTCTTTTTGAGATGAGTCTTTAATAAAGGTACAATCATAATTCAATATTCCAATAAAACTGAAATGTCATTGCTCATTTTATATTTTTTCCTCTAAATTTTAATTACGATCCACGGGTAAAAAAATGACCAGACATGGCAAATTTCAAAATTTTTATTAATATATATTTTAATAAGGATTTGTACTCGTTTCATCCATGTAATCATGAATAAAATCACAAATTTAAAGCCTATAATAAATTGTTTGTTATTTTGTTTTTTTTTTTAATTTAATTTTATTTTTAAATAACTCAATATATTTTAAATTGAAAAATATATTTTCAACTTCAGTATATCCATTTTGTTACAACGTTTTACATATATTGACTAAGGCAATTTCCCCAAAACATCATATATTTGGATTGAAGCATATCTATTATGTCAGTAAGTAGTATCATTCTTCCCCCTCCCCCTCGGAACTTGTTTGGTTAATTTTTCGTAAATGAAGTTTGCTAGCAACAGCCGCCCATCTGATTGGGCGACTGAACCATCACTTTATGTAGTTTTTTTTTTTCTTTTATTATATCAATCCTATAACGTGTCACTACTTAAAATTAGACTACAGGTTCAAGTATGCTGGATATAGAGTCCAGCTGAATCTAGGATTGATATAATAAAATTAAAAAAAAAAAAACCAACAACACGTTATGGTTTATAGTCGACCCAATCAAATTGGCCACTGTCTAGCAACAACCACTTCAGAAAACAATTAACTCAAACAACTAAAACCCTATAAAAGACTAACGAAGTTGGGACTTGGTTAATTTTCTGAGAATGAAGTTTGCTAGCAACAGCTGCCTATCTGATTGGGCGGCTGAACCATCACTTTATGTAGGTTTTTTTTTTTTTTTCTTATATCAATCATTTAACACGTCCGCTGCTTAAAATTTCAACTCCAAAAGTCCAGTTGAATCTAGGATAGATATAAGAAGAAAAAAAAGAAAAAAAAAAACCAACACCACGTTATGGTTTATTGGTTAACCCAATCAATTGGGGGACTGTCTAGCAACCACCACTTCTAAAAATAATTCAAATCAAATAACTAAAACCCTATAAAAGACTATTCTATGAATCATGTCTTTACTTAGACCCAATTTTCATAGAACAATTTCCAAAAAACTGTCAACAAATGAATTTCAAGTAGACATATGCGTGACTACATGCTCATAATACAGCCGCGAAATGGGAAAAAAGTGTTGCAAGATTTGGTACTGTTTCACCCAACTGATAATCAGGCGGCCCATCCCTTTTCATATGTATTTGTGTGCACATACTATTCAAATATATTAAGCCAACCCTATTTATGATGTTCCACAATATTCTTCCAAAATTAGTGATGTCTTTTTTCTTCTAACATATTATAGAAGTAGAGCTTTGCACAAATTGAATTTGTGCCACATTATCAAAAACTCCCATTACCAACCAATTTTTATTTAAATGTCGTAATTAGACTAAAATTTCAGTTCCATAGTCATTTCTCAACTATTTGGACACCACGTGAATTCAAAACGCCATTCTGCTATTATATTTTTGGATTGCAAGATATCTACTTGTAAAGCAAGTTATTTCATTCCTCCCCACTACTTAGATCAGTTACTTGGGACATTTTTGGTTCAATTTTCTGAAAATTGCTAGCAACAGTCGCCCAACGGCGACTGAACCATCACGTGTTGTAGGTTTTTTTTCTTTTATTAAATCAATCCTTTCACGTGTTGCTGCTTAAAATTTCAACTCCAAAAGACTACATGACCAAGTATGTCCCTTCCTGCTGGATATAGAGTCTAGTTGAATCTAGGATCGATTTAAAAAAAAAAAAACCAACAAACACATGATGGTTTATCAGCCGCCCAATCAAATGGGCGACTGTCTAGCAACAACTACTTCTAAAAATAATTCAACTCAAATAACTAAGACCCTATAAAAGACTATTCTATGAAGCATGCCTTTTCTTGACCCAATTTTCATAGAGCAATTTCCCAAAAACTGTCAACAAATGAGTTTCAATTTGACATACGTCTGACTAAATGCTCATAATACAACCGCCAAATGGGAAAAAACAGTTGCAAGTTTTGGTATTGTTTCACCCAACTGATAGTCAGGCGGCCATCCCTCTTCATATGTGTTTGTGTGCACATACTATTCAAATATATTAAGCCAACCCAATTTCTGATGTTCCACTATATTCTTCCAAAATTAGTGACTTCTTTTTTCTTCGAACATATTATAAGTAGTTTTGCACATTATAAAAAAAACTCCTATTACCGACCAAAATTAGTGACTTCTTTTTTCTTCGAACATATTATAAGTAGTTTTGCACATTATAAAAAAAACTCCTATTACCGACCAAAATTTTAAAGAATTGGTATAAATGTCATAATTAGACTTAAATTACCATTCCATAAAGTCCTTTCTCAACTATTTGGAATCGACCACATGAATTCTAAACGCCATTCTGCTCTAAGACCATAATCTCAATCAAACATGCTATCAGAAGAGTTGAAAAACTGAAGACAACTAATGATATGAATGATTGATTATAGGGTGCACATGCATCGGCAAATGCCACCTCTCATGGTACATTTATACTATCTAATAGTGGAAGGACACGTTTTGATCGTTTTGGAATAATGTGGTTCATTTTATTAATTGTTGCCGCCTACAAGAATTGTAAGTAAGGACGAAGGACAATAATTGAAAGTCGAAAGAGAGAACAAAAAGAAAATGAGGCAAGGAACATGTGCATAGCGTGTCTATTGTTTCCTGCTCCACCATATAATATAGTGAAGATATATTTGATGAGCATGCTCCTTACCTCATTATATATCTCCGGCCTCTTTCTTCAATTATTCTCAATTAAGTAAAATATACACCACATTTCTAATGTTTCCAGGACATTTGCATCTTCAACCTCAATATATCATTCTTGCTACAATGTTTTACATATATTGACTAATGCAATTTCCAGAACATTATATTTTTGGATTGCAGTATATCTACTTTGTAAAGTAAGTTGTATCATTTCTAATGTTACCAGGACATTTGTATTTTCAACCTCAATATATCATTCTTGGTACAATGTTTTACATATATTGACTAACGCAATTTTCCCACAACACTATATTTTTAGATTGCACTATATCTACTTTGTAGAGTAAGTTATATCATTCCTCCCCACTACTTGGATCAATTACTTGGAACATTTTTGGTTCAAATTTCTGAAAATGAGGTTTGCTAGCAACAGTTGTCCACCTGATTGGGCGAATGAACCATCACATGTTACAGAGAAAGAAAGAAAGAAAAAAGACGAAAGTAGAAAAAGACGAAAGCAGAAAAAGACGAAAGCAGGCTTGTTAGATTACAACCTCTTAAGACTGTTGGATTGCAACCTTGGCCTGCCCTGAGCAAATAATCGGTATGTTTTTTTTCGTTTTTTCATTTTTTTTTTGTCTTTTCTTCTTTCATCTTTTTCTACTTTGTCTTTTATTCTTTCGTCTTTTTCTACTTTCATCTTTTTTCTTTCAGTCTTTTTCTTCTTTCATCAAATACGGGTCTTATGTTTAATTAAATTATTTACTTAGCTCAAACTTTGTCAACTTAAATTATTTAATTAGCTTAGGCTAAATGATTAAATAAAAATATAATTATTCTTAATAAATTATATTTGAAATAATTATTTTTATGAATAATTATCACAATATAACCGGCCCAACTCGGCCAGTTATAGTTATGTCATTATCAAGAGAGAATACGTGTCATCATACTATTAATCCAAGAAGCTTATAAATAAAAACATGGAGGAAGAGGACCAGATATTCAAAGAGTCCAGAAATTCAGAGAAATCCAGAGGGACCATAAAATTCAAAAGTCCAAAATTTCAGAGTAAAATACCACCCAAGCGTCTGAAGGCAGAGAATAACAAGCACATCCAAAGTCATACCGTTCTTGCTCAAATTCAACAAAGAACAACAAACACATCAAAATAGTGTCGTTCTTTCTCTGTGATTCAACAAGTTTGAAGAATCACCAAACAAACACCGTTCGAAATCAAACTTCGTCAGCCCTCAATCGGAGCAGTCATCCTGAACTACAAATACTAGAAGGAAATTGTCGATTCAAGATCAAGCTCCAACAACCCTTGGATCCAACCAATAAAGAGATCGAATTAGAGGATACTTTCTTTCTTTCGGAAAGAATACCACTGTACTCAAATTTTCATAAATCAATAAATTACTATTTGCTCCCTATTTCATTCTTTTAATTGCAGAGTATGAAATTTGTGTGTACAGCAGTTTTCCCACAACATTATATTTTTGGATTGCAATATATCTACTTTGTAAAGTAAGTTATATCATTCCTCCCCACTATTTGGACCAGTTACTTGGAACATTTTTGGTTCAATTTTCTAAAAATGAGGTTTGCTAGCAACAATTGCCCATCATTGGGCGACTGAACCATCACGTGTTGTAGGTTTTTTTTTTTTTTTTTCTTAAATCTATCCTATTACGTGTTGCTGCTTAAAATTTCAACTCCAAAAAACTACATGACCAAGTATGTCCCTTCCTGCTGGATATTAAGTCTAGTTGAATCTAGGATAGATTTAAGAAAAAAAAAAAAAAAAACCAACAAACACATGATGGTTTATCAACCGCCCAATCAAATGGGCGGTTGTCTAGCAACCTCCTCTTCCGAAAATAATTCAACTCAGATAACTGAAATCCTATTCTATGAAGAGTAGTGCTATTGCAAGCACGCGCTCGCAATAGCACTCACGCGCACCCCAATTCCAGCCATAGGATGACTATTTTCTAGAGATTCGAGACACTGATGACAGCTAAGGAAATGAAAACACCTTTTTTTCTATCTCTTCTTTGTACGTTTTGCCTCTTTAACCCAAACCTTAACCTAACTTTCTCTCTCCTGGTTAACTCATATCACTTTTCTCTCTCTCTTTTGCCTATTGTCTTTTTTTCTTCGATAAAGTTTGCAACTTCTCTGTCTTTCTCTCTTTTTCGGCTCTATCACATGTTTGGCCAATAATGAAATATTTGCCTGATTGTAAACACACCCAGTAGTTGTGGTCTTCAATCTCGATTCGGTCTTCTTCTTAAAATTGGGTGAGAATTCGATAGTATTTTTATTTAGAATTACATCCCGAATTTAGGGCTCACACTTTCTATGCTAAGGCATCACTGGAAGGCTTGATTACTTAAGACGTTTAACTGTTATTTATGGAATTGTTTTACTTTTATCGAACTTTAGACATCTTTATGTTTTTATTATTTAATCTCCACTCTAGACCGTGTTCTTACTTTCAACAACACCTTTTCCCCAGCAGTTATGTTATTGTCCCCTCCATATTAGGGGGAAAATCCAAGTTGATGAAAGGCAATTACAGAAAAATTTGATTAATTCACCATCAAAATCTCATCCTATCATATTCTTATTTGTGAACCTATCATAGCATGTCCTTGTAGTGTGAAGTTCTTATTTGTCTTCTTACATGTAATTGTGGCAATCATTCATTTCAATTCATCAAATGTGTGTATTGGAACACAATGAGTAATTTAGTTATGAAATCATGACTGAGAATAAGACCATTCTGGATGTCCTTCACAGTACTCTGATTTTTGTAAACATAAATGCATTATAATTTCTGTTGGTCATAATATTTTTTATATAATTATTTTGGAGTTCCTTATAACAGGTTAAAGTGAATTTGTTGTTACCTTTTCTTAATTAGTGAAATTGTTCTACATAATTATCTTTTGCATAGATTAAAATGGATGTTGTAATTCAAGATTTGGATGAAGATGTTTTACAACATAAAAATCAAGATTACACTTGCTCTAATTTTGTTGAGGATGATGTGGAGGTTGTTTAAACAAATGATATTATTCCTTGTGATGAAAAAGAGGATTTTGCTCCGTATGTTGGGTTGGAATTTAAATCCTTAGATGAGGTATTTGAATTTTATAATGGATATGCTTATAACAAGGGATTTAGTGTTTGAAAAAGTTATTCTCGAACATCTAAGAAGACGGGAGAAGTAATTGGCCGTCGATTTTGTTGCTCACTTCAAGGTTTTAAAGAACCAAGATTCAAGGTAAATGAAGGGGAAAAAAAAGGCAATTTCCTGAAACAAGAGTGGGTTGCAAAGCAAAGATATCAGTTATTAAGAAAGAAGATAGATGGGTTATCTCTAAAGTTATTGAAGAACATAATCATTCTCTTGTAACTCCAAGTAAAAAACATAAGTTGCCATCGCATAGAAAGGTAAAAGAAGGTCATGGTCAAATGTTATCAAATATGAGTGAATCTGGCGTAAAGACAAATTTGATAATGAGTTTTTTTGGCACTTGATGGTGGATATCGTAATATTGGTTTTACTTCAAAAGATGCAAGAAACTTTTTGGGTTTTAAAAGAAGAAAAGAGATTCAAAATGGAGATGTGCAAGCTGTTCTTAATTTTCTTGAAAGTCAACAAACCAATAATCGATCATTCTATTATTCAATTCAAGTTGATTCGGATGGTAGGATGACTTAAAATTTTTTGGGCAAATTCTAGATCAAGAATGGACTCTCACTATTTTGGGGATGTTGTTTGTTTTGATCCAACATATTGGACGAATAAGTATGGTATGCCATTTGTTCCTATTGTAGGGGTAAATCTTCATTATCAAACAATGTTGTTTGGTGGTGCACTTCTTTTTGATGAAACGGAGGAGTCTTTCTTTTGGGTAATTTCAACATGAATGAAAGCGATGCATGGAAAACAACCTAAAGTGATTCTTACTGACCAAGAGTCTGCAATTGCTGGGGCAATATCACATGCATTACCAGGCACTCGACATAGATTTTGTCTTTGGCACATCACAAGAAATGCTACCAAAAAGCTGGGAAGTATATACAATGCACATAATGGATTTAAAAATGATTTCAATAATTGCCTGTACGGATGTGAATCCATAGAAGATTTCCAGCTTAGTTGGGAAGCAATGTTGGAAAAGTATGGCTTGAGAGATATTAAATGGTTGATGAGCTTGTATGGAAAAAGGGAAAAATGGGCAGCTGTTTATACACGTGATGTTTTTTGTGCATCTATGTACACAACACAACGTAGTGAAAGCATAAATGCCTACTTTGATGGGTACTTGAAGAAAGATATGCCACTATGTGAATTTGTAAAGCAGTATGAAAGAGCTATCATACATAAAAGGGAAATGGAAAATGATGAAGATTTTGAGACGTTATAAGAAGCCTTTTTTAAAGATTGGAATGGACATTGAAGAATATGCTTCTAAAATTTATACAAGAGCAATCTTTAAAATGTTCCAAGAAGAGTTATTATTAGGTCTTAACTACAATCATGAAATGACTGGGAATATGGAAAAAGCATATTTTATTGTGTGGAGAGGAAACCAAAAAGATGGGGGGCATATTGTTACTTTTTGTAGCTCTGCTACATCTATTGATGTAAAATGTACATGTCAACTATTTGAATTTGCAGGATACTTATGCCGGCATATCCTAAAGGTGTTTATAGTCATAGATATTCGAAATGTTCCATCTCAATACTTTTTAAAAAGGTTTACAAGAGATGAAAAGTCTGGCCCGGTGGTGGATGAGATAGGTGAACAAATGCAGGCTGATTGTCATGAACCAGTGACGCTTCGGTATAGCAATATTTGTCGTGAGACCTCAAGCATTGCTGAAAAAAGTGTTATGCATGAGGAAATATACAACTTGGCTATGAATGGTTTGCAGAAGTTGTCAAATGAAATTGATGCTGCAAGAAAAGAATTAGCAATAAAGCCTTCTGAAATGATCACACTAAATAGTTGTGTAGTTTCTAATAATTTTGAGAATCAGAGTAAGTTACTTGATCCCTTGGTTGTGAGGCATAAAGGGCGTCCAGAAAGAATGAAATCATTTCTAGATTCAAGGCCAAAGAACAAAAGTAAGGCTACTAATAAGTAAGATTGCTCTATGTACAATCATTTACATGAATTTTAAATTTTACTATTTTATTTAATCCTCCATGTAGGGAAAAACAAACATGGTTCAAGTTCAAGTTCAACAACTAAAAGTGAACAATTTGCTGTCACAAATAAGTGACTTGTTTATACCTACAACGAGTCAGGTTGATAAACATAATTTCTTTTCCTACATGATACTTTTTTTTTTTTTTTAATTTCAATTGGTATAGTTAGTTTCACCATGTACTGATTTTTTTTTAATAGTTCTTGTTACATTTAACTTACCACTATTTTTATGACTTATAGGGAAATATAGAATTTGGTTCATTGAATCTCAACTCCACTAATGTTGGTTTTGATCTTAATAAATCACATGAGGTAACTACATATCAAACTTTAGAGTGTCGCGTTTTTATTTAATTTGTTTAAACAATCTATTAAGATGCTCAAATATTTCTCTCCCCCAATCTCTTGCAGGATTTTGAAAATGATATTTGAATTCAAGCTACATGGATTCTTTTGCATTGGAGTGATGGTGGAGTTCAAATCTAGTTTTTGAAAATTCCAAGCAATGTTTTTTTTGTTCCTTTAGCAGCTATTTTTTCCCCATCTTCTTCAAGGATCAACTACTATAATTTTTTACGAATTAATTTGAAAAAGGGGAAAAATATATGGTAATTTTTGCTTCAGCACAAATCCAGTAATGTTTGTGTTGGGTTGTTGGAGTTCTTATTTTTTTATTACTTTTACTTGTGTTCCTTTAGCAGCTCTTTACTATTTTATTTAATCCTCCATGTAGGGAAAAAGAAGCATGGTTCAAGTTCAAGGTTAACAACTAATAGTGAACAATTTGCTCTTTCAAGACTCGTTTATACCTACCACGAGTCAGGTTGGTAAACATAATTTCTTTTCCTGCATGATACTTTTATTATTATTTTTTATTTCAATTGGTATAGTTAGTATCACCATGTACTGATTTTTTTAAAAAAAGTTCTAGTTACATGTAACTTACCACGTATTTTATGACTTATAGGGAAATGCACAATTTGGTTCATTGAATCTCAACTCCAGTGATGTTGGTTTTGATCTTAATAAATTATATAAGGTGAAGTACGTATCGAACTTTAGAGTGTTGCGTTTTTATTTAATTTGTTTAAACAATTTATTAAGATGCTCAAATATTTCTCTCCCCCAATCTCTTGCAGGATTTTGAAAATGATATTTGAATTCAAGCTACATGGATTCTTTTGCATTGGAGTGATGGTGGAGTTCAAATCCAGTTTTAGAAATTCCCAACAATGTTTTTTTGTTCCTTTAGCAGCTATTTTTTCCCCATATTCTTCAAGGATCAACTACTATAAATTTTTGCGAATTAATGTGAAAAAGGGGAAAAATATATAGTAATTTTTGCTTCAGCACAAATCCAGTAATATTTGTGTTAGGCTGTTGGAGTTCTTATTTTTTTATTACTTTTACTTCTTGTTTTCCAGAAGCTATTTTTTTTTTTCTTCCCCATCTTCTCCAAGGATCAGGTGCTATAAATTTTTGAAAATTAATGTGAAGAAAGAGAAAAATATATGGTAATTTTTGCTTCATCACAAATTCAGTAGTGTTTGTGTTAGGGTGCTGGAGTTCTTATTTTTGTATTACTTTTAGTTAGTTGCGTTCCTGCTAATTTTTTCCCCATTTCTTCAAGGATCTATAAATGTCTTAGAAGTAATATGAAAAGAGAAAAAAATATATAATAATTTTTGCTTCAGGTATAGATAATAGGCATTGCATACTATTTTTTTACAATTATCATTGCATACTTACCAAAAAAGAGAAAAAATTAAATAAAAATGAGAAAATCGAACCATTGTGATTCTTGAGAGACGGACTAAAACAAATCACCAGTGCAATTATACTATTCCTGAATGCAATAAAAAGGATTTTTTCTATAAAATATTGAATAAAAAGTAAATAGCCCGCTAATAAAACAAAGGCAAAACTTCCGGGAAAAAAAAAAAAGCACAAGAGTCAAAGACTAAAGAGAGAGAGGCCATGTGAGAGTTAACCAGGAGAGACTTCCAAAAAAAATAAAAAAACAAGAGTCAAAGACTAAGGGTTAGTTTGGTGTGCAGGAATAAAATAGAATGGAATGAGAATTTAAGTAGGAATAGAATGAGAATGGAAAAGGAAAGGAATGGTCATTCTTATTCCATTGTTTGGTTTCAAACCTGGAATGATAAAGAATGGAATGCTTATTTCCATTTCAATGTTTGGCTGGACCATCCTAAAACTAGAATGGAATGAATTTTTTTTTTCAAAATATTCTTATCAAAATTCAAAATAAAAAAATAAAAAAAAAAAACTAAAAATAAATAAGAATTAAGAATTGATCAACAACAACTTGTTTTGAGTACGAACGTCCTGCCCCGACTGGCGTTCCCCTAAAATAAAAGGAGTTTGTGCCGTCATTGCCATTTTCGATTGAATCAAGAGAGAAATAAAGAGATGCAGAAAACCCTAGATCAGCTCTGACGGTGAGTACTTGCTTCTCTGTCTCTCTAAGATTAAAAAGTTCAGAGCTTGGTGAGTTTACGAACTATTGCTATGGATGCTCCCTCTGGAATGTTCAGAGAAAAGCTTGGAAGCAAGAGGAACAAACAATTGCAGAGTGCTACTGTGTGTGTATATGCGAGGGTTTCGAAGGTTTTTCATTCAAAGTATGCTGGGTGGTGAGAGAGGAAGGAGGAGAGAGAGGGAAGTGTGGAACTGTGAGGGGAGAAGTGGAGGCAGAGGAAAGTTTTTTAGTAGTGTTTGAAAAGAGAGATACGATGGAGGAAGACGTCTGAGGGAGACAGAGTCTGTGTGAAAGAAGTTTTTAGGTTAGACGGTGTTTTTATTTTTTATTTTTTATTTTTTTATTTTTTTTATTTTACTTATTTTTTATTTTAATTTTTGTTGGAAATGGAATGGTCATTCCTTTGGTCAAGAAGAGGAATGACCATTCCAACTTCTTGATGGAATGAGCATTCTCAGAGAATGAGTTGGAATAGTCATTCCACCTTTAAAATGGCACACCAAACAAGAGAAAAGGAATCAGAAGTTGGAATGGTCATTCCATTCCAGTCCATTCCAGCACACCAAACTAGCCCTAAGATAGAGAGGCTATGTGAGAGTTAACCAGGAGAGAGAAAGCTGGGTTCAGGAGGCAAAACATACAAAGAAAGAGAGAAAAAAGGTGCTTTCATTTTCCTTAGTTGTCATCAGGGTCTCGAATCTCTAAAAAATAGTCATCCTGAGGCTGGAATTGGGGTGCGTGTGAGTGCTATTGCGAGCGCGCGCTCGCAATAGCACTACTCTTCTATGAAACATGCTTTTTCTTGACCCGATTTTCAGAAAACAATCTCCGAAAAAAAAAAAAAAAAACTGTCAACAAATGAATTTCAAACATCTCTCGTTTAAAATGTTGTCAGAAAAGAAAACTCAACCAAGCCAGCCCTAAATCTTCACCTATGGGGTTCACTTCCTCTGGGCATGACCGGGTCAAGTTTCCGCCTAGATCCCGGGTTTGGGGCTGATTGTGGTACACAAACGGATTAGGCTCACCGTGAAACCTAAAAAGAGGCCTTCACGTAAATTAGTATACAGTACAGTATCAAGCATTCGAGCCTAACAACCAGATGTCTGGATCCAAGAAAGTGCCAGCTACAAACCCGACCCATCGACATTCCTAATCCGGATCCGCAAAATGATATATGTAGCAGTCTTGTATGATAATATATGTACACAATAGTCCTTAACTAGATAAAACCCTCGCTTAGATCTACCAGATCTATCTCAACGCACAGTATACTACTCTATTAGCAAACAGAATCGATCCTTCAAGTGTCAGAAGCATGGTTCGAACTTCGATCGAGCTATACATATATATATACATATATACAGATCAGTCATATAGTAGGCAATAAAACACAGAGAGATGAGAAATCGAGATATAGGAGAGAGAGGAAGAATATACCCGACAGACAGGTGGTTGCAGAGGTCTCGAACCCGGCTCGGCATGTGCCGCAGTAAACCCGACCCTCCACAATCAATGGGTTCGCAACCGGCCGGTGGCGCTAACGAGCGCCGGAAGCACACAGAGAGCCAACATCGAGATCATTCTGGCTAGGTTTGTTTTGCGAGTTCTAGAGAGAGAGAGAGAGGGTGTGTTTTAGTGAGAGTGATCTGCAGAGGCAAGGATAAGAAGAAGGAAGAAGATAAAGAGGAAAGGAGAGGGAGGGAAGAAATAGAGTATGTAAGTGTAGCGGAGACGAACATCTACGTTTAGTGATATCCATACAATAATAATGTGCCACGTTACGGTTTGAGGGTATTATGATCAATTTAAAGGAAAGTATGGGGTTGTTGTGGTAAGTGAATATTGGTCAGGGTAGGAGTTACTGAGAATATAGTTACAGGTGATCGATGTTAGTATATATGGTGGTATACAGCTAGATCCAAGTCTTGACATGTGTCGGTGACTACTGTGATCACATTGGGGAACGGATGTCAGGATCAAGTGTGACCGAGTCTATTACTAAAAATAACTTCAGTGCCATATCTATTACTTACTAGCCAAAATAACTTCAATGATTAAATATCAAAAATATTTCTAATAACATCTCCAAGGTTATGTTAAAATATATATTTTATTTTACGTAAAATATACATGTCATGCTTTGTTAAGATACACATTTCCCACGATTTGTTAAAAAATCATTTTGTGTAAAATATACATTATCACATATGATTTGTAAATTTTTTTCATCTCTATCAGTCTGTTAAGATACACTGCCATATCACCAGTGTGTAAAAGAATTGTATATTTTACACCGCACTTTTACACATCATGTAAACATATTTTCTCTCTCCTCCCCTTCCTCACCCGCGGTTCTCTTTTTTCTCTCTTATTCCTTTACGCCTCTTTATTTTCCACTTTTCTAGAGTGGAATAGAAAAGAATCTGTAACTGGCGGCAAGGTAAAAACTGCTCGACCATCTTTTATTTATTTATTTTAATAAATATAGTTTGATTTATCACTTTCGTTTGATCTTATCTTCTGCAATCATACTGTAGATTCTAGAATTTTTTTTATTTTTATTTTATATCCTTTTACATTATATTCTAATGAGATAAATATGTACTAGCCAAAGATTAGATATATATTTTAATCACGTAGTTTCTACATACTTAAATCTTATTTTATTATTTGTTATAAGTTAGAATTCCGATGCCGATGGCGTAAAAGGTTTGCTATTGACGGGATGAGAAAGTAAAATATAGGCTACATACTTAAATCTTATTTTATTATTTGTTATAAGTTAGAATTCCGGTACCGATGGCGTAAAAGGTTTGCTATTGGCCGGATGGAAAAGTGAAATATAGGAGAAAATTATTATTTTTTTCCTAATTGAGGAGGATTGGGACGTGAGGTTTAATCGCCAAAAAGTAAAATTTGAAAAAATTATGTAAGACTTGGGTATGACACGAGGTTGGTTGCTATTGGGGGATAGTTTTTTACACAAAATGTATAAAACAACCGCTAGAGCTAAAAATAGTTAGTACAATTTTTTTTTTGTGTGTAAATCTACTCTGATACATTAGATTTTACACAAAAAAAAAATTTAACAGACCACTAGAGATACTCTTAGCATATTTTCTTTCTCCTCCCTCTTTCTCATTTTATTAAGGAATGAACCTTATATTAAATAGATTTGTACAAGTTATTGACAGATTTACATAAAAGAATAAAATAATGGTTGGAGCTAAAAAGATAAAATAGGGTTTTAGTCATCACAAAAAAAATATATATATATATATATATACGCAACGGTAGTAAATTTACACACACACACACACATATATATATACACAACCGTTGGAGATATTCTAACAATTTGATACAATATTGTGGGACCCTACAACTAGGGGTGGCAATTTAAGTCCACACATTAAATCGCCTAAGCTTGCTCACTAAAATTAAATTATTTTGGTATCCAAATTTAAGTGTGTGGGTCAATAATGGGTAAAAAGTGAGTACCCATTCAATTCAAGAGTCAATTGTGGGTTAAGAGTGGGTATCCATCTTAACCCGCTCAAACAAAATCTTGTTTTTTTCTTTCTCTTCTCTCTTTTTCTCTCTCCTCTGATTTTTCACATTTTTCTGCCATAAAAAAGAAAAAAATTTGTTACGCGTTAAATGAAAAAAATTAATGTAAAACAATTTTTGTTTTATTATTCAACAATCATAATAATAATAATATTACTGGAAGTGTAAGGATTCTAATTTTATTAATATTAATATTTTTTTTTGTTTCTCTCTCTCTCTCTATTCTTGTTTTTATCCTTCTCCCTTTTTCCTCTCTCCTCATATTCTCTCTCCCCCTATTTCTCTCTTTGTTTCTCTCTCCTCCTTTTTTTCTCTGTGATAACTCTCAACTCTCAACGTAAGTTGTATAGTGACTTTTTCCCAAAATAAATAAATAAAAATAAAATAAAAAGAAGTTTTTTTTTTTTTAATGAGTGAGACCAAAAAAATAATAAATTTAATATATATATATATATATATATATATATATATATATATATATATATATATTGGTATTCAACAATTAAAACAATTTGACAATTTGTATCTAAAAATATTTGGTTAATGTGATACCCCCAGTTTCGGAACACGAGTTGATTAGATCCGCGCACAAAACCAGAGGATATCAGAGCAATTAGGTATTTAAAACGAACACAGAATACAAAAAAGATAAATAGAGAATAAATAAATGCTGAAAAAAACTAAAATAATAATCTATTAGTTAAATTTTTAGAATAAATCACATTAAATAACAAACTTCTCTATACCAATAATGCTTCAAAATATAACTTAGGAATCCATAACAAGTGGACTCCTAATAAAATCCCAACTAAAATAACGATAATAACTGTCTAAGTCTGAAACGGAAAAATAAGATAGAATCCTACACAGATGACTGGAAGAGTGATGATAACTGATCTCTGCTCCTCACGAACAAGATCTACACGTTGTACTGACGATGACCTGAAAAATAAATAGCGGGTCAGACCCACGAACAAATCATTTCTACTACATCCCAAATAGAGACCGGATAAACGAATACATTCTAGTCAAACTCATGCAATAGCTACGTAACGAATACATTCTAGTCAAACTCATGCAATAGTTACGTAGACGGTATATATAATATACACTGTAACGACCCACTTCACCACATGGTATGATATTGTCCGCTTTAAAACTAAGCCCGTATGGTTTTGTTCTTGAGCTTTACCCCAAAAGGCCTCATACCAATTGGAGTGACACACCTACATATAAGCACTTCACCTTTCTTTTACCCAGGTGATGTGAGACTATGCACCCGTAACTCATCAGTATGGTAGCCTGACAGTGTCTCGCACCCGCCCACGGCACACCAGCCCATAAGGTCATCACAATCCACCCCCCTTGGAGGCCAGACGTCCCCGTCGGCACACTTCCGGCTGGGTCAAGCTCTGATACCATTCTGTAACGACCCACTCCACTATATGGTATGATATTGTCCGCTTTAAGCCTGAGCCCGCACAGTTTTGCTTTTGGAATTTACCTCAAAAGGCTTCATACCAATTGGAGTGACACACCTACATATAAGCACTTCACCTTTCCTTTACCCAGGCGATGTGGGACTGTGCACCCGTAACTCTCCAGTGTGGTAGCCTGAGAGTGTCTCGCACCCGCCCACGGCACACCCGCCCACAAGGTCATCACAATCCACCCCCTTTGGTGGCTCGACGTCTTCGTCAGCACACTTCCGGCTAGGTCAGGCTCTGATACCATTCTGTAATGACCCACTCCACTACATGGTATGATATTGTCCACTTTAGGCATGAGCCCACATGGTTTTGCTCTTAGGCTTTACCCCAAAAGGCCTCATACCAATTGGAGTGACACACCTATATATAAGCACTTCACTTTTCCTTTACCCAACGCGATTTGGGACTGGGCACCCGTAGTTCGCCAGTGTGGTAGCTTGACAGTGTCTCGCACCCGCCCACGACATACCCGCCCACAAGGTCATCACATATACACTAAAAACTCTCATTTGACTATAGGGCAAACTCAATTAGATAGTAGGCATCATGCAAAGCGCATACAAAGTGATCATGAGTACCATCATCTATTAGGGCATACACATCCTTTATATCCAACTACGTATCCTAGAGGTAATATAGCCTTCCTAACCATCGATCCCGGGACCCCAATCTCATATTATAGTATATACATATATATATAGCCATATCTTGACAAGGTATAACAATATAAAATAAAAGCCATATCCTGACAATGTCAAGTCATCCATATCCTGGCAATGGCATGACAAGGAATGCAACTAAACTTAATTAGTCAGCTTACTCTTAATATACAATCATATCCTGACAATAGTGTATAATCCGAAACCATATCTTGACAATGGTTCCCAAACAATCAAATAAATAAAGATCAAATACAAGATCATACAATACTGTCATAATCATGATTATAATCATTAAAACATCCATTGCAATTGTTATAACAATTCAAGCAATATATAACATCATATAAACAACTTATAAGTTATTTAAATATCCATTATGTCCCAAACCTTAGCATTTTAATGTGTATTATGCATTTTGGGATTTTAATCAGTCCATAGAAATTATTTAAATCAATTAAAACGGACCATAACAACATCATGAAGCCAAAACTACAAATCCCAGTCTCCGACTCAATTTACAATTGAGTCGACTTTTTTAGCAATTGAGCCGACTCCTTCCCAACTGAGCCGACTCATTTTTGTTGCGAGTCTTCTTCTCCATTTTCAGCCTTCGTAACTCAACTGGACTCTATTGTTAAAGGTCCCAAGCTTAGTTCTAAGTCTCAAACGTCCCCAATAATTTATTTAAAATAATTAGGCATGTATAGATAAAGATTAAACAACAAATAATGCATTAAATCTCAAGTTCATATAAATCAATAACACATATATAATCTCTGTTTTTATCTGATTTAATCATGCAAATAGGTTCATTAATTTTGTTTAATTATCCTAAGGCCATTATAGGCATGTATTGAATACAAGATTTAAGGAGAATAATAGAACAAAGAACTTGCTTTAAGGTTTCAGATTGAAAACCTAACACCTTATTTATTCAATATGTTTCTCAACGTAAGCAGCCTCTAGTTGCCGTCGTGCTCCCTATGCTAGTTTGGTTATGCACCATGAACATGCTTCTCCTTCCTCTAAGGTTCAACCTTGGCCTTCATGTC